CTAAAACTAATATTGGCATTTCTGTAAATGTTGTTCTGTCATGTTGAAATCGTGGTTTTAACTTGAAATTACACTGACATTTTAATTCAGTGGTTAACATTCAGAGTTGACTGACAACCTGACGTAATGTGATGGACCAAAATTGCCTATTTCAGTTATTATTTTCTTGGATATGGTATTGTTCAGAAGTGAACCCGTTTGTTGCATAAAATTCCAAGTTATTGTCGTTATAACATAACGGAATAACAGCTAGTAGTTGGAAATTAAAAGGCTAACTATTATGCAACCAGTAAAACTCTCAATTTCTCGGTAAACGCAAAGACGAAATCGTAAATAGAATATTAAATTAACAATAAAAAGGGGAAATTATTGTTAACATCGTAGCTATTAAATATAGAGAGTGTTCGGAAATTTGGATACCAGACAGTCTATCAAAGACAAACTTTCAAAAATCGATGGCTGCCTTTGATCGTATTTGGTATTGCTTGCTTGTATCAGCTAATTTTTGAACATATTTTTGATTTTCAATTTTTCAATTTTTCGATTTGCAATTTTTCGTTTCAGTTTTTTTTCTTTAATTTTTCAATTATTCAGGTTTTCAATATTTCGATTTTATAATTTTTTATGTTTTTCAAGTTTTTTTACATTTAAAATTTCACGAGTTTTCAATTTTTAAATTTTCTCTTTTTCGTTTCTTTATTTTTTTCATTTTTTTTTAAATTTGAATTTTCAGTTTTTCGTTTCGGTTTTTGTTTTTTTTATTTTTACAATTTTTCGATTTTTAATGTTCGGATTTGTTTTCGTTTTTTTCAATTTTAATTTTTTTAAATTTTCGTTTCTTCAATTTTTGGAATTGCAATTAATCAATTTTTTTTTATTCAATTTTCGGCTTTGCAACTCCTTTTGCACCTAATTTTCTAACTTTTTGATTTTCCTATTTTTCAATTTTTGGATTTGCAATTTTTCAATTTTCAATTTTTAATTTTTCAATTTTTCGATTTTCTAATTTTTCGATTTTCGAATTTTTCGATTTACTAATTTTTCTTGTCTTCACTTTTTCGATTTTCTAATTTTTCTTGTCTTCACTTTTTCGATTTGCAGTTTTTTGTGTATGTTTTTTGGTTTCCTAATTTTTTCCGTTTTTCCATTTCTCAACGATCTAATTTTCAAATTTTTTGATTTTCCTATTTTTCAATTTTTGGATTTGCAATTTTTCAATTTTTAATTTTTCGGTTTTTCAACTTCCAGATTTTCCAATTTTTCATTTTCTTAATATTTGACTTTCTCGATTTTTCACTTTTTCGTATTTTTACTTTTTTATTTGCAATTTTTCTAGGTTTCATTTTAAATGTAATGTAATAACACTAATAACAATCAGAATTTTTAAAATGTTTCATTTTTTCAAATTTTCGATTTTAGAGTTTTTCAATTATTGGAATTTAAAACTTTTTCATTCTATAATTTTTCAATCGATTAAATGTTAATTTGGGTTTTCCAATTTTTTGTTTCGATTCGTTTTTTCTTTTTCCAATTTTTCGGTTCATTACTTTTTTTCGATTTTATTTTCTCGAGTTTTAGTTTTCATGTTCCAATTTTTCGTTTCTTCAGTTCTTCAATTTGCAATTTTTGATTTTGCAACTTTTCGTTTTTTCATTTTTCCGATTTTTCAATTTTCGCCAATTTTTGAGTTTTTTATTTTTTGATTTTTCGGTTTTTCAGTATTTTGATTTTCCATTTTGTTAAATAAAAAAAATGAAAAAATGCAAATTTGTAAAAATTGAAAATCAAAAATATAAAGAAAAATCGAAAAAGAGCAAAATCGAAAAAACGAAATACGATGTATTGTTAAATCGAAATATCGAAAATTAAAGAAATCGGAAAACCGTATAACTGGAAATCCAAAAATAGCACAATTGAAAAATTTCAAAATTGGAAAACTCAGTAACTGGAAGATCTAATACTGAATATTTGAAAAGCTGAATAAACGAAAAAATATAAAATTGAAAGAAACACTGAAAAATAGAGGAATTAAAACAAACATTGTAACAAGTCGAGAAAATGAAAAATAAAAAATCGGGAAAATTACAAATACTTGAATATCAAGAAAAGTAGAATTAAAAATTGGGAAAAAACTGAAAATCGAAAATTTGACGAAACGAAAAATTGAGAACTCGAAATATCGAAAAATTCAACAATCCATTACCAAAAAATCTCTTTTCTTTTAGATTTTCAATTTTTCATTTCTTCAATTTTTGAATTTGGTTTTCATTTTGAATATGTAATAATAATTTTAATTTTTAAAATATTTCACTTTTTCAATTTAATAATTTTAGAATTTCTCCATTTTTCACTTATTGTATTTTAAATTTCTTTAATTTTTTTGATTTTCCAATTTTTGCATTTTTAATTTTTCACTTTCTCGATTTTTAGTTTTTCAGTCTTTCGACTTTTCAGTGTTACAGTTTTTCGAATTTACAATTTCGAGGATTCTATAATTTTTCGATTTTTTGATATTTGGTTTTTCAATTTTTTTATTCTATTTTATTTTCTCGATTTTCAGTTTTACTTGCTTCAATTTTTCGTTTCTTCAGTTCTTCGATTTGTAATTTTGATTTTCCATTTTTTCAATTGTTCAATTTCTTCCGATTTTTGAGTTTTCGTTTACAATTTTTCGATTTTTCAGTTTTTTGATTTTCTATCTTTTCGAATAAAAAAAAAATAGAAAAAATACAAAATTGAAAAATTGAAAAAAAAAATAGAAAGACAAAAGTGTATAAAATGAAAACTTGAAAAATCTAAAATGTGGAAATCTAGTAATTGAAACATTGAAGAAACGAAAAATTCAAAAACCGAGAGACTAGAAATTGAGAAGTTGAAAAATTGACAAATCGATTATCGAAAAATCTTTTTTCGCTTTTTCAGTTTTAGGTTTTTTAGTTTCCGGATTTTTCAATTATTCATTTCTTCAGTCCTTCTATTTGCAATTTTTTTAATTTTCCATTTTTTCTTTTTTCCAATTTTTCGTTTTTTCAGTTTTTAAATTTTTTTATTGTTAGTTTTTTCAGTTTTAGTTTTTTCAGTTTCTAGCATTTTCAACTTTTCTTTTCAATTTTTGATTTCCAATTTTTCCAGTTTTCATTTGAAATATGTAATAATAATTATAATGATTTGAATTGTTTCATTTTTTCAATTTGACAATTTTAGCATTTTTCTATTTTTCAGTTACAGAATTTATTATTTTTTTTATTTTTTCGATTTTGTATTTTTTCTATTGTAAATTTTTCAATTTCTCGATATTTAATTTTTCAGTTTTTCGATTTTACCATATTTGGGCTCTAATTTTTCTTTCGATTTATTAATTTTTTGGATTTTTAATTGTCTCAATTTTTTTCAGTGCTTCAGTTTTTCATTTCTTCAGTTCTTCGTTTTGTAATTTTGCGATCTTCTGCTTTTTCGATTTTTTAATTTTTGCAATCAAAAAATTGAGAAAATTGCAAAATCTTAAAATTGATAAATCAAAAATGAAAAAACTAAAATGTATAAAACGAAAACTGAAAAATCTAAAAATTAGACATTAAAAACTTGAAAAATTGAAGAAATGAAAAATTCAAAATCGGAAAAAAACGAAATGTTGAATAAAACAAAGAAATCTGAAAATCGTATAACTGGAAATCCAAAAACTGTAGAATTGAAAACGGGAAAAAAAAATAAAATAAAAGAAACGAACAATTACAAAATTGTAAAATTGAAAAAACAAAAATAAAAAAACAAAAGCATATAAAATGGAAATTTTAAAAATCTAAAAAGTGGAAATCTAGTAATTGAAAAATTGAAGAAACGAAAAATTCAAAAACCGAGACTAGAAATTGAGAAACTTAAAAATCGAAAAAGAGGAAAGTAGAAAAAATGAAATACGTATTGTAAAATCGAAATATTGAAAATTAAAGAAATCGGAAAATCGTATAACAGAAGTCCAAAAATTGCAAAATTGAAAAATTTTAAAATTGGAAAACCCAACAACTGGAAAATGTAAGACTTAAATTTGAAAAGCTGAATAAATAGAGGAAATAATAAAAACAAAAATTGCAGGAAAATGAAAAATAAATATCAAGAAAAGTCGAAAAATTAAAAATTGGAAAAAAACTGAAAACCGAAAAATTGGGGAAATAAAAAATCAAAAAATCGAAAAGTTGAAAAATTTAAAAATCTAAAAGTCAAAAAACTCAAGTCTCGAAACTGAAATATTGAAAAATTGAAAAATGGATTATCCAAAAAATCTTTTTACTTTTAGATTTTTTGATTTTTAGTTTTTTTTTAGTTTTAGATTTTTCAGTTTCTAGCTCTTTCAATTTTTCTTCTCCTCAATTTTTGATTTTCAATTTTTCCAGTTTTCAGTTTAAAATGTAATAATAAATGTATGATTTTTCAATTTGACAATTTTAGCATTTTTCCGTTTTTCAATTATTGAATTTAATTTTTTTTATTTTTCGATTTTTCTTGATATTTATGTCATTTTCCCGTTTTTAATTTTCCATTTTCTTGATTTTCTGTCACAATTTTGGTTTTTTTCGATTGTTAATTTTTCAATTTATCGATATATATTTTTTTTAAGTTTCTCAATTTGGAATCAAAAAATTGAAAAAATGCAAAATCTTAAAATTGACAAATCAAAAATGAAAAAACGAAAATGTACAAAAACGAAAACTGAAAAATCTAAAAATTAGAAATCAAAAACTTGAAAAATTGAGGAAATAAAAAATTCAAAATCGAAAGATTAAAATTGAGAAATTTAAATATCGAAAAAGTGCAAAATCGAAAAAACAAAATATCTAGGTACTGTAAAGTCGAAATATGGAATATATATTAAAAAAATAAAACAAAAGAAAAACTGTGATATCCATACCCATCTACATATTATTACTTGTTTATAGAAAGCGACACAGACGACAGACAGACACACGGACGAAAAATAAAATGCCAAAAAAAAATGAGGACATAAACACTTTATTGTAACAATTTATGTGATTAATTATCCCCTTCGTCAATCCTGGTGCTGCACAAAACTCAAAAATACCTAAAACTCCCCATTAACAACCAGATCTCCCCTTCACCTAAACATACCTGTTCTAAACTACACTGTCCCAACGAGTACTCATCAATCAGAAGATTCTTCTTATTCTTCTCTATTGTCCCAAACATCTTCGACCACGACACCGAAGTGTCCCCCAATTCGTACGTCGCCATCTCCTGAAACTGCTCGACCAACCTAGACCCCGGAAAATTCCTCTTGACAAACTCATCCACATCTTTAAGCTTCCGATCAGTCGGCGGCTTCTTCACCTTCACAATCAAAGAATAAGCTTGAGCAAATCGGTTCTTCAGCCTCTGACTAGACCCAATACACTTGAAATTCCCATTCACCATAATAGCCATCCTGGTACAAAGCGCTTCGCACTCCTCCATGCTATGGGAGGTCAAAATGATGCTCTTCCCCTTTTCCCTCAACTTCGCCAGCGCCGCCCACATGATCCTCTTAGCCGCTGGGTCCATTCCCGTGGACGGTTCGTCCAGGTACACGATGGGTGGATCCCCCGTGGTGGCCACAGCAGCGCTAACCTTCCTCTTATTCCCTCCACTCAAATTCTTGATCCTCTTATCCAGGTGCTTGTTGAAATCGAACTCCTTGGCCAGGGTTTCCGCGAGTTTGCCGCACTCCTTGCGATGCACCCCCCGGATGAGCGCGAACAGGGTGACGGTTTCCCTAGCCGTGAGGTCGTCGAGGAGGGCGTCGAACTGGGGGCAGTACCCCAGGTACTTCTGGACGGTCTTGGGGTCGCTGCTTATGCTCACCCCGTTGACGAAGGCGTCGCCGTGGGAAATGCGGATGTGTCCGGTTATCATCTTGAAGGTGGTGGTTTTGCCGGCGCCGTTTTCGCCCAGGAGGCCGAAGCACTCGTTGGGTTTCACCCCCAGGCTGATGCCGTTGACGGCGCGGAACTTGCCGTAGTACTTGGTGACGTCGCGGAGCACCAGGACGTAGGTGTTGAAGAGGTCCCGAGGGGGTGTCTCCCTCATGATCCTCATTTCCTCTTTGACGTCGCTGTCTACGTTGTCTAGATCGGGGGCTTTGGACTTGAAGCTGAAGATTTTGTGGAAGAGGTAGCCGAAGACGTGGTACTCGTTGATGATGAGTAGGAGGAAAAGTAGCAGACCCATTGCGAAGGATATGAGGATGTTGGCGCCTACTCCGGGGCGCTCGAGGGAGTAGTACTCGAGATCTGAAAATTTCTGATGTGTGTACTTTGCATAACTTTTTTTCTTTTAAAAAGCCGTACTAGTACCCTAAAAGCAGGTAAAAAAAATGAAAAAAAAAAACCTGGAAAAATCCATAAAAACATGTGATAGAGGAAAAATAATAAAAAAAATGGCGATGAAAAAATGGGGACAAAAAAACGATAAAGAGGCCATAAAAAGGAGAATACAAAAAAAAGATAAAAATAAAACAAAAGAGTGCCACAAAAGAGAAAAAAAAGTAGATAAAGAAACGAAAAGGCGAAAAAATGGCGATAAATGAAATTGACAAGAAAGAGACATAACATAGGCAAAATAGATAAAAAGGGACCGTAGAAAAGAAACAAAAAAGGAGATGAAAAATGGGACCAAAACGTGACTCGAATAAAGACGACAAATAGGAAAATTCCTAAAAGCAGTAACGAAAATAAAGTGTGACAAAAATTATACAAAAAATATGTGAGAAAACGAGACAAGAAAAGACAGTTAAAAAAGTAACAAAACGTGTGATTAAAAAAGGTGACAAAAAGGTTAAAAAATTATAAATAGAGATTAAAAAAGCAGTGATAACAAATGCGAAAGAACCAAAAAAGGGAAACAAAAAGATGACACAAAGGGATGAAAGAGGGACCAAAATACGCGAATCAAAGTAAGAAAAAGGTGAGAAAAAAAAAAGTGACCAAAAACGACACTAAAGGAAAAGCGACAAAAAAACAACTAAAAATAGTGGTAAAGAAGCTGATAATAAAAAACATAAAAAACGAGACAAAAATACCAAGAAATGTAAGGAACGAAAATCAGACAACGGAAATATACGTGAACCAAAAACGTGTTTCAAATAAACGTGCCAAAACTAAGGAGACGAAAAAGCGACAAAAAACATCAAAAAGTTGATAAAAAATGGAGAACAAAAAAATACGATAAAAAAGGCCAAGAAAAGAGGGACAAAAAAGGGAATAAAAAAACAAAAATACGAACAGAAAAATAATTGTCAAAAAAGGATCAAAAGAAGACGATAAAAGAAAGGGAACAAAAACACGACTCAAATAATGATGATAAAAGGTAACGAAAATAAAAGACTAAACAAAATATACAATCAAACAAATGCAAAATGAAAGGATAGTAAAAAAGACGGGACGACAAACAAAATGTAAGAAACAAGACGACAAAAAATAAAAAAGTCATACATAAATGCAAGTGAACGACAGGTAATAAAAAATCAGATTAAAACAGAGGTCCAAAGTAACAAAAAAGCAAAAAAAGGGACAAAAAGGCGAAAAAAAAAAGGCCACAAATAGCAATTAAAATAAAACTGGAAGAATGTGACAAAAAATCGATTAAAAAAGAGTCGAAAAGACAAACAAATCGATAAAATATTACCAAAAAGAAAGCGAAAAAGAGACCATACAAATGGGCACAAAGGAAGAAAATGGAAAATAGTGCCAAAAATGGAACTTATTAAAGACGACCAAAAAGGGACAAAAAATGGAGAAAAACCTCTAAGAGGGCATCAAAATGTGAACAGCAGGTCACAAAAAAAGAGATTAAAAGAGTGACAAAAAGGGCGATAAAAAAGATGCCAAAAAGACAACAAATAAGAAGAAAAAAAACGATAAATAAAAGAGATGAAAATGAAACAAAAAGTTGACGATAATGGATAAACAAGGCAAAAAAAGGGCAATGAAAATGAAAATGCAAAGGGGACTCAAAACGCAACTCATATAAAGACGACAAAAGGGAAGGTGGTAAAGAGAGCGACAAAACAAGCAATAAAAAGGGAGATACAATAGGGACTTAATGAAGACATCAGAAAAGGAGTACCAGACACGCAATTCAAAAAAAGCGTCAAAAATTTTGATAAAAAAAAGGCAAAAAAGTGACAAAACGACACCAAATAAAAAAACAACAAAAGTGGGTGAGAAATAAAGTGGATAAAATAATAAAAATATAACAGAAATACCAATAAAATTTAAATAAGAGTAAAAAATATGACCAAAAAGGGGACTTGTCCCTTTTTTTCAAAAGTCAACTATATGGTCCAATTGAAGAGGGGATCAAAAAGTAGACCAAAAACCCGATTTAAATAAAGGGGGCGAAAAAAAATGCAACAAAAAATAACGAAAAAAGACGAGAAAAAACCGATAAAAAAGAAATAAAAAAGCAAAACAGCTCAAAAAATTTTACCAAAAAAAGGCGAGAAAAAAAAACCGAAAAAAGCAACGAAAGAATTGAAAAAGTGGACCGAAAACGCGAGAAAAAGGGAGACAGGGAACAAGACAACAAAAATGTTACAAAAAATATAGCACAAAAAAATGTAGGATAAAAGGCTAAATAAATTAAACAATCAAATGGTTAGAAAATTATCGCAAAAAAATGGAGATGAAGAAAATGCAACATAAAAGACGATGAAAAGGAAACAAAAAATACTATAAAAGTCCATGAGTAAAGGTGAGCAATAGGAGAAAAGAATTAGATTAAGAAGGGGTCCAAAGTGACAAAAAAGCAAGGAAAAAATTAGAAACGGTAATAAACAAGCGATAAAGAAATTTGAAAAGGAATAAAAGACGATATGAAAGAGATAGTAAGAAAAGCGAAAAAAGATTATACAAAAGGGTACGAAGTGGTAGGTGGCAAAGAGTACCAGAAAGAACACGGCAAAAAAGGGAAGAACAAAAGGCGATAAAAAGTTCACAAAAAAATCAAGAAAAAAACTGAAAAATGACTAAAAAAAAGGTGGCAAAGAAAGCACAGAAGTGACTAAAAGAGAGTCAATAAAGACTACAAAAGGTCATTAAAAACGTAGCAACAAGCAACAAAAACAATAAGAATAAAAAGAGGTTTAGAGGTGACAAAAGAGACAAAAACCTAAAAAAGGGGACATGAAAATTAATGGAGACCAAAAATACGACATAAAAAAGGGGATAAAAATAAAGAAGAAGACAAAAAAATAGGAGAAAAAAAGGAGTGAATAAACGGAGACAAAAAAGCGACAAAAAAATCGATAGAAAGAAGACAATAAAAAAATGTGTCAAAAAAGCTATTAAAAAAATGGGAACAAAAACAAAGAAAAAAAGCTATAAAAAAGACGAGTAAAATTCTAGACGGCGATAAAAAGTGTCCAAAAACGCGATTGAAAAGAAAGCGACAAAAATTATTATAAAAAAGCAAAAAAAGTGACAAAAAACCACCAAACAAATATCAGCAAAAACAACGAGAAACAATGTGAAAAAAAGCATTAAAAAAGTAACATAAATACCACTAAAATTTAAAAAGAGGTCAAAAAATGTGACAAAAAGCGGACAAAATAGGGGACCAAAGAGTGGACCAAAAACGTGATTCAAATAAATGGGACGAAAAAAAAACGATAAAAAACGCAAAAAAAGACCTTACAAAAACGGCCCCAAACAAAAAAACCAACAAAAAAACACGAAAAAGTAACAGACGACAACAAAAAACGATAAAAACAAACAAAAAAACAACAAAAGTTAAAAAAGGTAAAAAACGTGACAAAAAAGCTATAAAAAAGGGACGGAAAAAGAAGACTGAACTAACGGACTAAAAACGTTATTCAAGTGAAGGTGACAAAAAGGCGATGAAAAGGGAACAAAAAATACCATGAAAAGTCCATGAACAAAGGTGAGCAACAGGAAAAAAAATGAGATTAAGAAGGGGCCCAAAGTGACAATGAAAGCAACGAAAAAATGAGAAAAAGTGACTAAAAAAACAATCAATAAAGACTATAAAAAAGTCATTAAAACCATAAACAACAGGCCACAAAAACAATAAGAACAAAAAGAGGGACAGAGGCGACAAAAAAGGGACAAAAGCCTAAAAAAAAGAAGGAAGTGGAAAAACGGAGATAAAAAGCGATAAAAATCAGTAAAAAAACATTACAAGAAAATGGAAAGGGGGATCAAACCTCAACTCATATAAATACAACAAAGGGCGACAAAAAGAGGCTAAAAAATCATCAGAAAAAGGCGACAAAAAAGTGGCAATAAAAAAGTTGAGAAAGGGTATCAAAAACGCCAATTAAAAAAAATGCGACATAAAATTCGTTAAAAAAAGCGAGGAAAAAAGAAGTAACAAAAAAATAGCACCAAAGAAAAAGCAACAAAAAAACAACAAAAAAAAGTGAGAAAAAAAGGTGACAGTAAAAAAATATGAAAAGGGGAACATAGATACCAAACAAATTAAAAGGAGGGTTAAAAAATGTGCTAAAAATGGCAATAAAAATGGGTACAAAAAAGGAATTCAAAAATGGGGATGAAAAAGTGGACTTAAAATGCTATAAAAAAGGAAGGGACGAAACAACAAAACAATTTTACAAAAAGATGTAGGGCAAAAAAATGTAATGAGAACAAATTACGAAAAATAAAGACACAAAAAGGAGACTGAAATAACGGACTAAAACAAATAAAAAAATCAAATGCATAGAAAAGGTTGTCAAACAGTAAGAGAGACCAAGAAAATGCAACAAAAAAGACGATGAAAGAATACAAAAATTTGATAAAAAGACCATAAACTAAGATGAACAAGAGGCGATAAAAATTAGATAAAAAAATAATAGCGCTAAAAAGAAACTCAGAGGCAACAAAAGAAACAAAAAGCCGAAAAAGGGGGACATAAAAAAGGAGACCAGAAATGCGACGTAAAAACAAACGATAAAAAGGAAGGAGACAAAAAATACCCGAAAAAAGGAATGAAAAAACGAAGAGGAAAAAAGCAACAAAAAAACGACAAGAAAATGTGACAAAAAATCTATCAAAAAATGGGCGCAAAATAAATCAGGAAAGAATAACAAACAAAAAAGTCATAAAAAAAGGCGGCCACAATTCGAGAAAAAATTGGAAAAAATAAAAATAAGGAATTACAAAATGCGAAAAGGAGACAATAAGAAAGGCACAACAAACGGGGCAAGAAAAACAGGTGATAAATAAAATGAGTAACGAATGCGACAAAATGGGGCAACAAAAGGCGAAAAAAGTAGATTACAAAAATAAAGACAATACAAAAAAATTTGTATTATTCCACTTCTACAATTCAAACTTACCACAGCATTTCGGTGTTGATTGACACGCCAATTCTGGCGTGGGGAACAGCTTACAAATCTTCATCAGCTGGTCTATGTTTGAAATGGCCAACAACCCTCTCACCAGAGAGTAGAACGGGATGAAAAGAAATACCCAGTGCAGTGGTTTCGCTATATGTGTAAGTTCCAGTTCTTCTACTTCTAGTATCATCAACATTAGAGGTGCCAGTTGCCCTACAACCAAAAATCAATCAAACCCGCCCGTCAACAAGTAAATCCGTACCGAAAACGTAGCCTATAAGAAATATTACAATGTAACCCATCGGAGGAGACTCGAAGAAAAACGAAAGCACGTAGACGGAGGTCAACCCATAGATGATGAAGGAGAAAAAAAGAAGACTCAAGCGACCTAAAAAGTACAACAACTTTGGTGCTGGGTTGACTATTTTCGAACGGTTTACCTAATTCTTCGTCCGTTGTTAACCCGTCGTACTGAATTATGAGTACCATGATAATTATAATGCAAAATGTTATCAAGTAAGTAATTATGTCGCACAAGAACGTTACCGTCCAGAACACTAAAACGTTGACACCAGAAACGAATTGAAGGTGCTTGTTCCCAGAAGCACGTTCCCGGATGTAGAAGATGATATAGAATCCGGTAATTATGGCGGTTATAATCCCCATAATGAAAGCGAATTGCAGTCCTGCTAAGCTCTGGGTTTTCAGCAACAGCTACAAGACACATAATTGTCAAAAAACCCGTTTTGGTCGATGTCGTAGGAACCTGGAGCTGCGGAGGCATCGGAAGAGGGTGGTGGTAGTACGTGATGGTACCATTATGCAGCGAGCTTAGCACCAAACCCAGTGACAACGGTGCCGCATGGTACGGATCCCCATTAAACCAAGCTATGATGGTTTGCAAATTATAATCTGACGCCACTATGTAGTGTTTCCTTGTCCCAATGGCGGACAATTTGGTCTACGGGACTTAAACAATTACTCCCAGCGGTACCACGTCACAGAATACCTCTTCCACAATTCGTTTAGCGACGTCGGGAACTCTTTCCAGCTTGTGAGGTCGTACCGCCCTTTCGTACCGCTGGTAGGCCGCATCATCGGATGTCGCCGCAAGCGTTATCGTGGTGTCGTACGATTCCAGAGACATCTTCAGGGGGGCGTACGTGGTGGGTAGTTCTATATCGTCAGTGAGTAAGTACGTTATTACTAAAAGTATGATCGGTAGAAGAAACTGGATGAGTAGGAAAGGCCAGCTTCTGATGGTCGATAACACTTTCTTCAAAAGCATGGCCAAGATTTGGTTTGGGATTAAAGCTATACCCGACAAGTACTTGGTTTCTGTTTCGGTTGCACTTGAAGAGGCTGAAATTGGGGTTTCGTGATGTTGTTTCACTACTGGGTATATTTTTACCTTGTTGATTTGCATTTTTCGCGTATAATTTTGTGATGTCGGCGTCGTGGTCTGCTCCAATTCTGGAAAATTATTTCGGTATAATAATACTTGGACAGTGAAAAGTAGTAGTAAATCAGAATTAGAAAGTAAAACGAGTAGCAAACTCCTACTATTAGGAGGAAAGCAGGCAATGAAAGATGACTACAAAAAAGATAACAAAAAAGTAAAAAACGTGACAAACAAGACGATAAAAACAGCAACGAAAAAAGGTGTCAAAAATGTTTAAAAAACGATAAAAAAGGGAAAATAAAAAGGGCGGCCAAAACGCATTTCACACAAATGAGACAAAAAAGTCTACAAAAAACCAAGAAATGAACAACGACAAAAAAAGAGCGAGAAAAAAGAACAGTAAACAGAATGAATAACAGATGACAAAGAAAGCGAAAGAAACGACAAAAAGGCAATAAACGAAGAAGATAAAAATAGACAAAAAAGGGGACTCAGGGTTCCCTTTACGCGACTGGTGTAAAAGGTAGCTAAACAGTGTATAAAAAAGGGGGCAAAAAAGAATACAAAGAAAGCGAAAAAAGACAACAATAAGAGAAGATGAAGAAAGGACCAATAACATAACTCAAAAAATGATGAAAATACAGCGTCAAAAAAGAAGGCGAGAAAAGGTGAGAAAAAGAAATCTAGAAGTGTCAAAAACCGGAGACAAAGAAAAGCAGCAAGAGAAAGACGACGAAAAAACCGACCAAAAAGAAACTATAAAAAGGTATTAAAAAAGGCTAAAAAAAATCCGGTTACAAACGAGGTGAAGAACAAAATTGCGATAAAAAAACGAAAATGGTAGTAGAAAAAGGAGAAAAAGAAAGTTGACAAAAAAAGACGAAGATGATAAAAAGGAAAAAGCAACAAAGAAAAAGCGATAAAAAGAGGGCCCAAGGCCACAAGAACGCGAAAAAAGTCGAAAAAAAAGTGAAAAGGGATATAAAAAAGTTGGTGAAAAATTCATATAAAAATGAAAAAAAGAAAAAGGACAGAAAATGCAAGAAAAAAGTGACAAAAAAAGAAAAAAAGCAATAAATAAAGGGGAGTGAGAAGACAGTGAAAAAAGGTGACAAACAAAGCGACAAAGAAGGAAAGAAAAGAAATAAAAAAGTCACAATACGCGTCAAAGAAAGAAGATGAATAGGCTGTTCAAAAACGCAGCATAAAAGCGATAAAAAGTGACAAAAAACAAGAAAAAAATGCGAAAAAAGGAAACAAAAATGACCTTAAAAAAGGTTACAAAAAAACAAATGGTGAAAAGAATACGATAAATAAAAGAGCCATAAAGGCAACAAAAAATGGCAAAAAAGGTTTTTATCCTTTTTTCAAAGAAAAAGAAGATGAAAAAAGCGATAAAAGCTACAAAAATCGGTGAGAAAAAGAAATTGGCAAAAGAAAGACGACAGAAAAACAACAACAAAAATACTACAAAGGACAAATACAAAGACTACAAACAAAGCTAATAACAAAATTGCGATAAAAAGAAGTCAAAAACCACCACAAAAATAACGATTAAAAAACCGCAAAAGCCGATTAATCGAGGCAGCAAAACAAGAGATAAAAAAGGCGTCAAAAAAGGATAAAAAAAGAAATCTAAAAAACTGTCAAAAACCGGAGACAAAGAAAAAGCGGCAAGAGGAAGACGACGAAAAACCGACCAAAAAGAGCTATAAAAAGTTGTTTAAAAAGGCTACAAAAAGGTTCACTACAAACGAGACATATAAGTGACAAAAAACAGCGACAAGAAAATCGGGAGACTAAAATAAAGACAAACAAAAAACCCTACAAAAAAAAGATCATAAACACGACGACAAAAGGCAATAAAAATTGTTTAAGTATACAAAAAAAGAGGGATAAAAAAGGGGACCAAAAACTCAACAAAAACAAGGCAGCAAAAAGGAGGACAACAAAATAAGCAACAAAGAAAAAGGCAACAGAAAGTTCACAAAAAATGTGATAGGAAAAACGACAAAAAAAAGATAAAAAAGAAAAGGCGACAAAGAACTCATCGAAAGACCATCAAAAGTAGAAAAAAATGGAATAAATAAAGGAAGCAAAAAAAGGCAACAAAAGCCGATTAATCGAGGTAGCAAAATAAGGGATAAAAAAGGCGCCAAAAAAGAATAAAAAAAAGAAATCTAAAAAAGTGTCAAAAACCGGTGACAAAGAAAAAGCGGCAAGAGGAAGACGACGAAAAACCGACAAAAAAGAGCTATAAAAAGTTATTTAAAAAGGCTACAAAAAAGGTCCACTACAAACGAGACGAAGAACAAAATTGCGATAAAAAATGGTCTGAAACACGACAAAAATGACAGTAAAAAAGGAGAGAACGAACGTTCACCAAAAAGGAAAAGGTGGTAGAAAGAGGATTTGAAAAATGTACCAAAAGCTCGACTCAAATGAAAGCTACAAAAAATACGAGAAAAAAAGTGAGGAAAAAACAAGATAAACAGTAAAAGGCAACAAAAAAAAAGCCGAGAATGGGCTAAAAAGGGATACAAAAAAGTAGAAGAATAAAGGGAACGAAAACGTAATTCATATAAACGTGAAAAAAAAAGAAAAAAGGAAAAAGACAAAAAATGCAAGAAGAAAAGTGACAAAAAAGGACGAAAAAACCAACAAAGAAAGGGGAGAGAGAAGACAGGGAAAAGAAAGGTTACCAACAAGGCGACAAAAAAGGAGAGAAAAGAAATAAAGCGGTCACGAAACGCGTCAAAAAAGACCTAAAAATAGCCTACAAAAAAACGGCAAAAGGCGAAAAGAATACGGTAAATAAAGGAGCTACAAAAGCAACAAAAATGGAGCAAAAAGGATAAAAAAGGGCGGAAAAAGGCAAAAAAGAAGATGAGAAAAATGGGAGCAAAAACGCAATTCAAAAAATTGTGACGGAAAAAAAAACACAAAAGAATAAATAAAGAAGTGCAGAAAGTGACCCAAATCCGTGAGAAAAAGAAAATGGCATAAAAAGACGACAAAAAAACAACAACAAAATGACTAGAAAACGGACTAAAAAGGCCACAAAGAAAGCGAGCAAAAAATTACGATAAAAATGCTCAAAAACCGTCGCATAAATAAGGATTAAAAAGGACAAGAAATGTGTCAAAAAAAGCTTATCGAAGATGAAAAAAGGGGTTCAGAAAAGACAGAAAAATGGGCACAAAAATGAAATTCAAATAAAGGCCACAAGAAGAAATGCAGCGATAAGTCACGGAAACTTTTCTGAAGAAAAAGCCACAAAGAATAAGCGAAAAAAAAGGACAGAAAAAAGATAGTATAAAAAGGCGAGAATCAAGACAAAAAAAGGTAACCAATAAAGGAGACAAAAAGGGCAACCAATAAAGAAGATGAAAAAGGGAACCACAAGTTCGACTCAAAAAAGTATAAAGGGGAATGGAAAAGGTGACAAAAACACAATAAAAAGGACGACAAAATAAGCGACCAAAAAGAAGCGACAGAAAGTAAACAAAAACGACGTCAAAAAAGGCCATAAAAACCAACAAAAAGGCGATACAAAGCAGATATAAAGACGATAAAAAGGCCAAAAAATTGTGAATAACAGGTGATAAAAAATTAAATTGAAATGTCCAAAGTGACAAAATAGGCATAAAGTGATAAAAAGGGGGAGCAAAGAGGTCACAAAAAAGCACAAGGTGAAGGTTGTTAAAGGGGGCAAAAATGAAGACCAAAATGTGACAAAAAAAGCATAAATTAGGGTGAAACAAACGCAACAAAAAAGTCCACCAAAAAAGACGAAAAAAGCCGAAAAGAAGACTAAAAAGGGATACAAAAAAATAGATGAAAAAGGAACCGACTACGTAACTCATATAAAAATGACAAAAGGAAAAGGACAAAGAAATGCATGAAAAAAAGTGACATAAAAGAACCAAAAAGGCGACAAAGCAGGGAAGAAATGATGACAGAAAGATAATATATAAAAGGGTCATAAACGCTTCAAAAAAAGATGGAGATGGTGTTCAAAAACGCAATTCGCATAAAAGCGACAGAAAGTGAGGAAAAAAGGTAACAAAGAAAAAGCAACAAAAAAAGGCAACAACAAGGGATAAAAAAAAGGTTATAAAAACCAGCAAAAGACAAAAAGCACACGATAAATAAAGGAGCCAAAACACATAACAAAAAAGTGGCAAAAAAAGGATAAAAAAGGGCCGAAAAAAGCAAAAAATGAGATGAAAATGGTGACCAAAAACGCGACAAAAGAATAGAAAAAAACAAATCTAAAAAGTTACAAAAACCGGCGAGAAAAAGAAAGTGGCAAAAGAAAGATGACGAAAAAACGACAACAAAAAAAAACTACAAATTTGGATAAAAAGCCACAAACAAAGCGAAAAACGACAAGAAATCTGTCAAAAAATGCGAAGAGAAGGCGAAAAAGGTGGTTCAATAAAGATGGATTAAGGGATTAAAGGGGCACAAAGATACAGCTCAAATAAAGGCAACAAGAAGGAATGCAACGAAAACGTCTACAAAAAACACGGAACCTTTTCCGAAGAAAAAGCGACCAAGAAAAAGCGTTAAAGAAGGGGTGAGAAAAGATAGTAAAAGGTCACAAACAAGACGAAAAAAGGTTATAAACAAAGGAGCAAAAAAGGCAACAAAAAAAATGAAAAATGGGCTGCAAGTGCGAATCGACGAAGAAAAAGGTGACAGAAAGTCCGCAAAAAATGTGACTATAGAAACGACAAAAGAAGCACATAAAAAAAAGATAAGACGGCAAGAATCAACAAAAAGGACAAAAAATGGTGAATAACAGGTGACAAAAAATTAAATTGTTAGGTCCAGACTCCAGACCCACGAAAAACATAAAAAGCGATAAAAAGGGGGTCACAAAAAGACCCTAACAAGATGAAGGTAGGTAAAGGGGACGAAAATGAAGACCAGAAAGTGACAAAAAAAGGATAAATAAGTGTGAAACAAAGGCAAGAAAAAAGTGACGAATAGGCAAGAGAAAAGAGAAAAAGCAACAAAGAAAACGCGATAAAAAAGGGAATAAAAAGCCACAAAAAGGAGAAAAAACTGAAAAGGAGACTACAAAGGGATACAAAAAAATAAATGGAAAAAGGGACCAAAAACTCATAAAAATAACAAAAAGGAAAAGCATAACAAATGGAAGAAAAAAGCGTCAAAAAAGGACCAAAAGGCAAAACAAAGAGAGGGAAGACGGTGAAAAAAAGCGACAAATAAGGAGAAAAAAGGTGACAGAAAAATAATAAATAAAATAATAATAATAATAATATAAAAAGGCAACAAAGAGGAAGCAATAAAAAACGGTGACAAGAATACGATAAATAAAGGAGCCAAAACACATAACAAAAAAAAAATGGCAAAAAAGGATAAAAAACGGCCCAGAAAAGGCAAAAAATGAGATAAAAATGGTGACCAAAACGCCACTCTAAAATTGCGACAGAAAAAAGCGACAAAAGAATAAAAAAAACAAATCTAAAAAGTTACAAAAACCAGTGAGAAAAAAAAGTGGCAAAAGAAAGATGACAAAAAAACAACAACAAAAAAGACTATAAAATGGGATAAAAAGCCACAAACAAAGCGAAAAACGACAAGAAATGTGTCAAAAAATGCGAACAGAAGGCGAAAAAGGTAGTTCAATAAAGATAGATAAAGGGGCACAAAGATACAACTCAAATAAAGACAACAAGAAGGAATGCAACGAAAAAATCTACAAAAAAATACAGAAACTTTTCCGAACGAAAAGCGACCAAGAAAAAGCGTTAAAAAAGGGGAGAGAAAAGATAGTAAAAGGTCACAAACAAGACGAAAAAAGACTATAAATAAAGGAGCAAAAGGCAACAAAAAAATATGAAAAATGGGCTACAAGTGCGCACCGACGAAGAAAAAGGTGACAGAAAATCCACAAAAAATGTGACAACAAAACGACAAAAAAAGCAGATAAAAAAAGATAAGACGACAAGAATCAACAAATGGCGAAGCAAAGCAGATATAAATAATACAAAAGGCCAAAAAAGTTCACAGAAAATACTAGAAAAAAAAATGACGAATAGGCAAGACAAAGGGCAAAAAGCAACAAAGAAAACGCGATAAAAAGGGAATACAAAGCCACAAAAAAGGAGACTACAAAGGGATACAAAAAAGTAGACGAAAAAAGGGACCAAAAACTCATAAAAATAACAAAAAGGAAAAGGATAACAAATGCAAGAAAAAAGCGACAAAAAAGGACCAAAAGGCAAAAAAAGGAGAGAAGGAAGACGGTGAAAAAAGCCACAAAGAAAGAGAAAAAAGGTGACAGCAAAATAATAAATAAAATAATAACATAAAAAGGCAACAAAGAAAAAGCAACGAAAAACAGCGACAAGAATAAGATAAATAAAGGAGCCAAAAGGGCAAAAAAGAAGATGAAAAAAGGGCGCAAAAAGGTAGAAGAAAGCCAAAATCAAGACGAAAAAGGTTTTAAAGACAGGAGGCAAAGAGGCAACAAATAAAGAAAATGAAAAAGGGGACCACAAGTGCGACTCAAAAAAAAGGCAATAAAAACGCTACACAAAAGAATGTTAGAAAAAAGCAACAAACAAGGATCAGACACTACGAAAAAAGGCAATAAAAAGGGCTATAAAGGGGTACGAAAAGATAAAAAAAGCGAAGACGACAAAAAAAGCCATAAAAATTAGCCAAAAGGAGATGCAAAAATTAGATTGAAAGGTCCAAGGCAATGGAGACCAGAAGGTGACAAAAAAGTATAAATGAGGGTGAAACAAAGGCAACAAAAAAAGATAAAAAGGGGATCCAAAACGCTACTCAAAAAAAGGCAACAGAAAAGCTTCAAAAAGAGAAGGGTATAAGAAAATGCGACAAAAAACGGTGGCGAAAAGATGGTAACAAAGCCAAAAACAAAAGTGGGATTACAAAAATTTGTCATAAAAACGCGTTATAATTAGTGTTAATTTTAGTCGTCTAAATCTTATTCTTTAAAATAGAAGTACAATGGCAAAGTAGTTGTTGTAATGCATAATGTCTAGTAAAATACTTAGTTCTCTTAATGATGTTAAAAACTATTAAAAACCTGATAATTTATAACAAAGTAACCTCTGCTAGAACATTACTAAGTGTATAATGTGTTGCCTATCTACCCAAACCATCTACTCACTTCATGAAAACTTCCTCCAACGACGTCAACGAAATCCCATAACTCCGAATCTCCAACATCGACATATTGGCCTCCAAATCGCGCAAAAGCGACTCAAACTTCGCAGCCTCGTTCCCCGGTAGATGATACTTGAGTTCAGACCCCACGAAGGAGTGAATATCCACCTCGGGAATGTGCTTCCTCAGCAACCCAGTAATGCGCTCAGGCCGACAACGCGGGGTAACATCCAACACTAGGTAGTACCCCCCTCCGTACTTCTGCTTCAGAAAAAAACTCGACCCGCAACACTGAATCTCACCCGCCGCCATTATAGCCACCCTATCACCCAACAAATCCGCCTCGTCCATGAAATGCGTCGTCAGCAAAATCGTACGCCCTAAAAAAAACAGTAGTCTTTGTGTGATGCTAACCCACTAACCTTCTTTTTCTTGTTTGAGCAGATTCCAGACGGTCCTTCGGGCAGAGGGGTCCATTCCAGCGGTGGGTTCGTCCAGCATCACTACTTTGGATTTCCCACAGAGCGCTATAGCGACACACAGTTTTCGTTTCATGCCGCCGGATAACTGAGTCGGGTAGTTTTTGACCTGAAACCTACAACTTGAAAAACGTTTTTTGGTGTAGTCAAGAGACAACTTTATTTTCTAGTTCTAGTATTTTGAGGTAGGACCCCATCTCCTCCTTGATTGATTTCTTGCTCACTCCTTTCATCTGTCCGAAGTAGAAGAGGTGCTCTTCCACTGTGAGTTGGTCGAAGACGACGTTGTGCTGCAGACACAAGCCCATGCTATCTCGGACCTTTTGCGGGTTTTTTCGCACGTCGTAGTTGTTGATGAGAGCGGTTCCGTTAGTCGGGGGGATCATTCCGGCGATCATGTTCATCGTGGTGGTTTTACCGGCACCGTTGTGACCCAGGAGTACCGTGAGGTGGCCTTGGTACATGTCCAGGGTGATACCTCTGACGGCTTTGTGGCTTCCAAACGTTTTCGAAAGACTCATAAGTTTTATTCCGACGGGTAAATCTTCACTGAGTACCTCGAAGCTTTGTTTTTTCATGTTTGTAGTTTGTTCTTCTTGGTTGTCAGTTTCTTTGTCGCTGAACCAGAAGGAACGGGTACAGAGGAAGTACCAAGGTAGAGGGACTCCGAATTCGCCGGGGTATATCATTTCGATGTATAGGGCTAGTAGTAGGTAGAGGAAACTGTCTACTATTAGCATTATGAAGATGTCGCCTAGGCTGGTTTTGTGTGGACTTGGTACGGTGAAAAGGTTGTCGAAGTGTATTCCTAGAAAGATTTGGTTAGTGGTGCCGAGGTGGTACTACGTTTCAAATACCGGTGCCGATGGTTTCAAACGCGAAAATGTAAGTAGTCCCGAATCCTACTGCAGTACAAGAGAAGAGACTGGCAGCTAGTACTTTCGTTGCTCCTGGTTTCCCGGAGTCCTGCGATCTGTTAATTAACTGATATGGCAGAAAGGAAATTGCGAAGAAGAGAAGAGCGACCATAGCGGCAACACTTGCTGGAAAAACAACATCAAACAGTTGATAATAACACGACTGACTTACCTTTAGTGAAAAGAGTACTGATAAAGAAGGCTAAAGTGATCATGGTGCACAAATACAGGAACACAAACAAGAACAGAAGAAACCCATTGGAATTAGGGAACACTATGGTCAGCATGATTGTGGCTAAGATGACTGCAAAGGTGTTAACAATCAAACTGTAGGTGAACCAAGACAACCATTGCAACCACCCAGGAATCCCCATCACTTTCATCGATTCCTAACAACTTTTCTCTGTATTAAAGTAACCAAAAGTTGAAATTACCTTCAGCTGTTGTTCCTTTTCATGCGCGATCCCTTTCACCAACATACAAAAGTGAAAGAGATACAGCGCTATCAATAGTTGGGATATACCTGTTTCAAAGGTCACTTCATCCACAGCACCTGTAATTCATAACTGTGTAAAGTCACCACGTCTTGGTGATGTTCACTACCGAAAAACTGATCTTGACGAAACGCCGCAAACGGGAATCTTTGCATTTTGACTTCATATTCGGACCCATTGGCTTTGCCTTCGTTCATTAATGCTAGACTCAGACTTTGTTGAAGGTAAAGAAACCCACGTTCGTGGTAGTCTGGAATTACAAATTAGTACGAAATGAGAAAAATGAGGCAATCTTACGAGGAGTTCCTCCAAACTGGTCTTCAATTTGCCTGTGACCAAGCGACTCAGCCTGTGAGTAGAAAATTTTCGTCCGCCACGGAGAAAACTTGCCTTTTCTGGTCACCGGAAGTCTAAACTTCACCAGTAGGATTATCATCACACCATTATCATCATTTCTACCTATACCTTAACGTCATGTCAAAATCCTCAGGAAGTTCCCCGCTGCTGTTGACTCCTTTCAGATTATCACTAAAAGCCACCGCAAATCTAAGAACTGAGGAAAAGTTCGCATCTGAGTCAATTTTCTGGTCCAAGTCGGCTTTAGTTTCAAAAGGGACTACAAGCTTCACGTCGCTGCACGTGGAATCGATAGACATGGCTATTAACAAGCTCTTTGGGGAGAAGGCAACGACGTTTGGTAGTCTAGAGTTAGTCAATCTTTGATTCGAAAGTACTATTAGTCACCGAGCTTACCCTGCTGTATTTGAACAAACTTCCGACTCTGGGAGGTAAGTGCTTTCTGAAAAAGGTTCGAATGAGGTTTCTGGTATCTCTTCTATTTCGAATTGGTGTCTGATGAGGTAGAGAAGAAGACACACGGCGAGAGGAAAGAGAATCTCGCCAATCAGACGCAAAGGGCTTCGTCTTAATATTATCAAGTGCTTCCACATCAGGAGGTTAAATTTTCTGTAATAACCCATTTTTGGATGGATGAAGGATCAAGATATTAGACACTAAGGCGTAGGCATTTTTTCACTCTTGCTTTAATTGATCAGTTGTCACAAATGACGTGACAAGTTTGATTAGAGTTTGTTTTTTAGTTGCTGGAAGGATATTTGATATTGCTGGGTTAGAAATGACGGGGAGAAGTTTAGATGTTTCTTGAACTCTGAAGAAGAATTTATCGAGACTTTGAGACAGGTCGAATGGTAAAAAATCGAAAGATAAAAAAAAAATTAACGAATCGAAATGTGGCGGCACAATAACACGTTGGTAAGCGGAGAAAGATAAGCTCCTCCGTAGTCTAGTGGTAAGGGCACCCGCCCGGCAAGCGGTAAACGTGTGGTTCGATGCCCACCAGAGAAGCAACATTTTTCTTCGCTTACCTATAAAAGAATTTTAAATAACGAAAAATTAAAACACATCAAAAATATAAAAATGAAAAAATTGAAGAAACGAAAAATTGAAAGACGAGATTTTGAAAAATTTAGAAATTGAGACGGCGAATATTTAAATAATTAAAAACTGAAAAATTGAAAAATTATAAAATCGATAATTTGAAAAAATGAAAACTCCTAGAAACGAAAATTTGAAACTTTCAAAAATTAATAAATCAAAAAATCCAAAAGTCGAAAAATTGAAATTGGAAAAATCTAAAATTTGAAGAAAGAAAAAAATTGAAACGAGGAAAAATTAAAAATCGGAAAGTTGAAAAATTTCGAAAAACGAAAAATTAAAACACACACACGGAAAAATGTTATAATGATAGAATTGTGAAGTCCAAAAATAGTATAATCGTAAAGTTGCTGGTCAAAATAATTAAGAAACAAAAAGTTGAAAAATTGAAAAATTAAAAAATCGAAAAATTAAAAAAATTAAAATTGAGAAAGTGAAATTTTTAAATAATAAACATTGAGAAATCGAAAATTTGAAAAATTCAAAAGTTGAGAAAACCAAAAATCTACTTACTTTCAAGTTTCAGATAACCAGATTGCCAGATTTCCGTTCTTCCAGATTTCAACATTTTAATATTTCCATGTTTCCATATGTCCACATTTTCAAATTTCCAGATATACATTTTACAAGATTTCCACATTTCAGATTTACCTATACATTCAGATTTCCAGATTTTCACACATATATGTCTAGACATCAAAAAAATTACTTTTGATGCTATAAGCATAATCACACAATCTTAATGCTGCTGAAATATGTTTTTTCGGACATCCAAATATCCAGATTGCCAGATTTCTGGATTTGCAGATTTGAAATTTTAAGATTTCCATATTTCCGGGTTTTCTAGACTTCCACATGACAAGATTTCCAGGTTTGCACCTTTCCAGTTTTCCAAATGTTACTTTTAATAAAGGAAACATAAACACAGAATTTTAACCCTGAGAAGACTTTGCATGAGATAGATATCTCGTCCGCTAGATTTGGACGGGTTTTAATAATAAAAAAATCCAGATTTTTAGATATTCAGATTTCCAGATTTCCAGGTTTTCGGATTTCTAGATTTCCAAATTTCTCAATATCCACCTATTTTGACTGCCAGATTTCTATACATCCAGATATTCAGACACCGAAAAATTAACTTTAGACAATGCAAAGATAATCACTAAATCGTAATCCTGCTAAAATTCAGATAGTTCACACGTTATTTTAAATTTCCAGATTTCTAGCTTTCCAGACATTCTGATATCTAGATTTCGAGTTTTTCACACACTCAGTTAACCAGATTTCCGGATTTACAAATTTTCAGAATTCCAGATTTCCAGAAATCTAAGTTACAAAATTTCCAGGTTTCCACATTTTCAGATTTACCCACATTTTCAGATTTCCAGATTTTAAACGAGCTTTAATATTTAAAAAAATCCGAACTTCTAGATTTCCAGATTTCTAGGTTTCCAGGTATTCAGATTTACCGATACCCAGATATTCACGTATCAACATATCCTGACCTCCAGATTTCCAGATTTCCATGCAACCATATATCCAGACATCGAAAAAATAACTGGTGATAATGGAAAGGTAGTCACAGAATCGTCATCCTGCAAAAATTCTGCATGAGATAGACACATCATCTTGTCCGCTCGAATTGGATCCAGATTCCTAGATTGCTTGATTAAGTTACATCCAGATATCCAGACAGCTGGACAAAAAATAACTTATGACAATGGAAAAATAACCGCAGATTTCCAATTTTTCAGACATCCAAATATCCAGATTTTGAGTTTTTCAAACATTCATACGTCCAATTATCCACACCGTCAGGTTTCCGAATTTCCAGATTTAAACTTTCCAGATGTCCAGATTCTCATATTTACAGATTTCTACATATTTCCAGAAAACAAGATTTCCAGGTCTGCACTTTTGCAGATTTTCAAATTGTTATATAACCAGTTATCTACATATCCACATGTGCAGATTTCCAGTTTTACAGATTTTCGCACAGATTTATATCCAGATATCAAAAAATAACTTTTAGCAACGGAAACATAAACACAGAATCTTAATCCTGAGAAAATTTGCCCGCTAGATTTGGACAAGTTTTAATAGTTAAAAAAATCCAGATTTCCAGATTTCTAGGTTTCCAAGTTTTCAGATTTCCAGATTTCCAAATTTTCCAATACTCAGATATCCACATATCTACATATCCTGGCTGCTCGATTTCCAGATTTTCATACACTCAGATATCCAGACATCGAAAAAATATCTTCTGACATTTTAAAAATAATCCTAATCCTGAGAAAATTCTAAATGAGATAGAGAAGACAAGAGTATTTCACATATCCAGACATCCAGATATCAATTTTCCATATTTCGGGATTTCGAAATTTTCAGAATTCCATATTTAAAGACATCCAGATTTCCACCTTTCCAGATTTACCCATATATTCAAAGTCCCGAATTTTTAGACGAGTTTTAATAATTAAAAAAATCCAGATTTCTAGATTATCAGATCTCTAGGTTTCCAGGCATTCACATTTCTAAATTTCGAATTTTCCAGGCATTCAGATATCCAGACATCGAAAAAACAACTTTTGAAAGGTAGTCACGGGATCGGAATCCTAAGAAAAGTCTGTATGAGATAGACACCTCATCTTGTGTGCTCGAATTGGATTCAGATTTCCAGATTTCTAGTTTTCCAAATTTTCAGATATCCAAATGTTATCATCTCCACATATTACCATACATCCAGATATCCAGACAGTCAGACAAAAATCGCAATCCTCGCTGGCTCGATTTTAACGAATTTTAATAAAAAGTGACAGAGAGATGTGGGATTTTCTCCGTCATTGGACGAGATCTTGCAACAATAATAATAACGGAATCGTAATCATAAAATAATTTGCATGAGGGAGAGCTCATGTTATTTCAAATTTCCAGTAGTTCAGTTTTCCACACATCCACATTTCCAGTTATTCAGACATCCAGTCGTCCAAACATCCACACTGCCAGTTTTCTGGATTTCCAGATATAAGATTTTGAAATTTTCATGTTTTCGGATTTCCAGATTCTCCGATTTAGAGATTTCTAGATATCCAGATTACAAGATTTCCAGGTATGCACATTTCCACATTTCCAAATGTTTAGATACCTAGATATCCACATACCCACATGTTCATATTTCCAGATTTCTAGAGTTCCAGACATCCAGAAGTTGGACATCCAGAAATTTAGATTTCTAGTTTTTCCACATCCAGACATCCAGATATCCACATTGCCAAATTTCCAGATTTCCAGATTTAAAGATATTGAGAGTTCTATATTTCCAGATTGTCGGATTTCTAAATTTTCAGAATTGCATATTTTCAGATAGCCAGATTACGAGATTTCCATGTTACCACATGTCCAGAATTCCAAATGTTTCTAGATATATAGATATCCACATATCCACATTTTCAGATTTGCCGAGTTTTAATAATCCGAAAATAATTCCGGATTTCTAGACATCTAGATTTCTGTATTTTCAGGTTTCTAGGTTTTCAGTTTTCCAGATTTGAAAATTTTCCGATACCTAGATATCCACAGATCTAGATTTCCAGATTTCCTAATATCCACACATAGAAAAAATAACTTTTGATAATGAAAAGTGATTTAGAATCGTAATCTTGAGAAATTTTTATCACACATCCAGATTTCCAGTTTTTCGGTCATCCAGATATCCAGATTGCCAAATTTCCGGAATTCCAGATTGAGGATTTTAAGATTTTCATGTTTCCATATTTCCGAATTTCCAAATTCTTAGATTTCCAGATTTCTAGATATCCAGATTACAAGATTTCCAAGTTTGCACATTTCCACATTTCCAAATGTTTAGATACCTAGATATTCACATACCCACATGTTCAGATTTTCAGATTTCTAGATTTCCAGAGATTCAGAAGTTCGCCATCCAGAAATTTAGATTTCTAGTTTTTCTACATCCAGACATCCAGATATACACCTTGCAAGATTTTCAGATTTCCAGATTTCAAGATATTAAAAGTTCTATATTTCCAGATTGTCGGATTTCTAAATTTTCAGAATTGCATGTTTTCAGATAGCCAGATTACGAGATTTCCATGTTTCCACATTTCCAGAATTCCAAATGTCTCTAGATACTTAAACATCCACATACACACATTTTCAGATTTGCAGAGTTTTAATAATCCGAAAATAATTCCGGATTTCTAGGCATCTAGATTTATATATTTCCAGGTTTCTAGGTTTTCAGTTTTCCAGATTTGCAAATTTTCCGAAATCTAGATATCCACAGATCTAGATTTCCAGATTTCCTAATATCCACACATCGAAAAAATAACTTTTGATAATGGAAAGTGATTTAGAATCGTAATCCTGAGAAATTTTTATCACACTTCCAGATTTCCAGTTTTTCGGTCATCCAGATATCCAGATTGCCAAATTTCCGGAATTCCAGATTGATGATTTTAAGATTTTCATGTTTCCATATTTTCGAATTTCCAAATTCTCAGATTTCCAGATTTCTAGATATACAGATTACAAGATTTCCAGGTTTGCACATTTTAAGATTTCCGAATGTTTACATATCCAGAAACCCAAAAAAACGTAATCACAACGCTAGACTTGGACGAGTTTTAATAATAAAATATCCAGATTTCTATATATCCAGAATTCCATATTTCCCAATACTCCGATATTCGCATCTCCATATATCGTTCCAGACATTTAAAATAACGTGCTTTCAGGGTTCCATATTTCCTTATTTCCAGATTCTTAAATATTAGGATTTTCAGATTTCCCGATTTCCAAATTACCAGATATATAGATATCTAGATTTCCACATTTACATACATCCAGACATGTAGACATCCAGATATCCAGACAATCTGACATCATAAAAATAAGTTTTAATAATGGAAGAGTAATCAGATAAATCTGATAGAATTCTGCATAAGGTTTATACCTCGCTAGGTTGATTAGAACAAATTTTATAATTAGATAAGACTAAAGAGGGGGCGATGAAAGTGCGTTCTTCTACGTCATTTGAAAAAAAAATTGTGTAGTTCGAGATATCCAGATTTCTAGGTTTTCAAATTTCCAGAATTTCAAATTTTCCGATACCCAGGTATCCAGATATCCAAACATTCAGATTTCCAGATTGCCATACACCCAATTATCTAGACATCGAAGAAATAGCTTTTGATAATGGAAAAATATTCACAAAATCGTAATCCTGAGAAAATTCTGATTTCATTTCAAATTTCCAGATTTCTAGATTTCTAGGTTTTTAATTTTCCAGGTTTCCCAATATCCAGATGTGCATATTTTCAGATGTTTATGTTTCCAAATTTCCAGAATTCTGGACATCCAAATGTCCAGATTTTGAGTTTTTCACACAGCGAGACATGCAGATATTCATATTGTCATATTTCCAGGTTTCTAGATTTCAAAATTTGCTTAATTTTAGATTTTCGGATTACCAAATTTTCAAAATTTCATATTTCCAGATATCCAGATTACAAGATTTCCAGATCTCCACATTTCCAGATTTTCAAATGGTTATGTAACTAGTTATCTACATATCCACATGTGCAGATTTTCAGCTTTACAGATTTTTGCACAGGTTTATATCCAGATATCAAAAAATAACTTTTGGTAACGGAAATAAAATTACAGAATCTTAATCCTGAGAAAATTTGCCATGAGAGTTTTAATAGTAAAAAAAATCCAGATTTCCAGATTTCTAGGTTTCCAGGTTTTCAGATTTTCAGGTTTCCAAATTTTCCAATGTTCAGATATCCACATATCCACATATCCTGGCTGCTCGATTTCCAGATTTCCATACACCCAGATATCCAAACATCGAAAAAATAACTTGTGCCAATTTAAAGATAATATATCCTAGTCCAGAGTAGGTGAGATAGCTATTTCAAATTTCCAGATTTTAGATTACAAGATTTACATATTCCCAATTATAGGATTTCTAAATTTTCAGAATTCCATATTTTCAGATATCCAAATTACAAGATTTTCATGTTTCCACATTTCCAGAATTCCAAGTTTCTAGATATCTATACATATATCCACATATCCACATATTCAGATTTCTAGATTTCCAGAGTTTTAATAAACCAAAAAAATTCCAAATTTCTAGGTATCTAGATTTCTATATTTTCAGGTTTCTAGGTTTTCAGGTCTCCAGATTTTCCGATACACCAATTATCTAGACATCCAACAAATAACTTTTGATAATGGAAACACAAAAATGACAGAATCGTAAACCTAAGAACATTTTTTCACACATCCAGATTTCCAGTTTTTCGGACATCCAGATACCTATCCAGATTTAGAAAATAATTCCGGATTTCTAGACATCTAGATTTCTATATTTTCAGGTTTTTAGGTTTTCAGTTTTCCAGATTTGCAAATTTTTCCGATACTCGGATATCTACATATCTAGATTTCCAGATTTCCTAATATCCAAATATCCACACATCCAAAAAATAACTTTTGATAATGGAAGGTGATTTAGAATCGTAATCCTGAGAAAACTTTTTCGCACATCCAGATTTCCAGTTTTTCGGTCATCCAGATATCCAGATTGCCAAATTTCCGGAATTCAAGATTGAGGATTTTAAAATTTTCATGTTTCCATATTTCCGAATTTCCGGATTCTCAGATTTCCAGATATACAGATTACAAGATTTCCAGGTTTGCACATTTCCACATTTCCAAATGTTTAGATACCTAGATATCCACATACCCACTTGTTCATATTTCCAGATTTTTAGATTTCCAGACATCCAGACGTTCGACATCCAGAAATTTAGATTTTCAGTTTTTCCACATCCATACATCCAGATATGTACATTGCCAGATTTCCAAATTTCCAGATTTCAAGATATTAAGAGTTCTATATTTCCAGATTGTCGTATTTCTAAATTTTCAGAATTCCATATTTTCAGATAGCCAGATTACGAGATTTCCAGAATTCCAAATGTCTCTAGATACCTAGATATCCACATACCCACATTTTCAGATTTGCAGAGTTTTAATAATCCGAAAATAATTCCGGATTTCTAGACACCTAGATTTATATATTTCCAGGTTTCTAGGTTTTCAGTGTTCCAGATTTGCAAATTTTCCGAAACCCAGTTATCCACAGATCTAGATTTCCAGATTTTATAATATCCACACATCGAAAAAATAACTTTTGATAATGGAAAGTGATTTAGAATCGTAATCCTGGGAAATTTTTTTCACACATCCAGATTTCCAGTTTTTCGGTCATCCAGATATCCAGATTGCCAAATTTCCGGAATTCCAGATTGAGGATTTTAAGATTTTCATGTTTCCATATTTCCGAATTTCCAAGTTCTCAGATTTCCAGATCTCTAGACATCCAGATTACAAGATTTCTAAGTTTGCACATTTCCACATTTCCAAATGTTTAGATACCTAGATATCTACATACCCACATGTTCAGATTTTCAGATTTATTGATTTCCAGACATCCAGAAGTTCGCCATCCAGAAATTTAGATTTCTAGTTTTTCCACATCCAGACATCCAGATATCCACCTTGCCAGATTTTCAGATTTCCAGATTTCAAGATATTAAGAGTTCTATATTTCCAGATTGTCGGATTTCTAAATTTTCAGAATTGCATGTTTTCAGATAGTCAGATTACGAGATTTCCATGTTTCCACATTTCCAGAATTCCAAATGTCTCTAGATACCTAGATATCCCCATACCCACATTTTCAGATTTGCCGAATTTTAATAATCCGAAAATAATTCCTTATTTCTAGACATCTAGATTTCTACATTTCCAGGTTTCTAGGTTTTCAGTTTTCCAGATTTGCAAATTTCCGATCCCTAGATATCCACAGATCTAGATTTCCAGATTTCCTAATATCCACACATCGAAAAAATAACTTTTGATAATAGAAAGTGATTTAGAATCGTAATCCTGGGAAATTTTTTTCACACATCCAGATTTCCAGTTTTTCGGTTATCCAGATATCCAGATTTCCAAATTTCCGGAATTCCAGACTGAGGATTTTAAGATTTTCATGTTTCCATATTTCTGAAATTCCAAATTCTCAGATTTCCAGATTTCTAGATATCCAGATTACAAGATTTCCAAGTTTGTACATTTCCACATTTCCAAATGTTTAGATACCTAGATATCCACATACCCACATGTTCAGATTTTCAGATTTCTAGATTTCCTGACATCCAGAAGTTCGACATCCAGAAATTTAAATTTCTAGTTTTTCTACATCCAGACATCCAGATATCCGCATTGCCAGATTTCCAGATTTCCAGATTTCAAGATATTAAGAGTTCTATATTTCCAGATTGTCGGATTTCTAAATTTTCAGATAGCCAGATTACGAGATTTCCATGTTTCCACATTTCCAGAATTTCAAATGTCTCTAGATACCTGGATTACCACATACCCACATTTTCAGATTTGCAGAGTTTTAATAATCCGAATATAATTTCGGATTTATAGACATCTAGATTTCTATATTTCCAAGTTTCCAGGTTTTCAGTTTTCCAGATTTGCAAATTTTTCGATACCCAGATATCCACATATCTAGATTTCCTAATATCCACACATCGAAAAAATAACTTTTGATAATGGAAAGTGATTTAGAATCGTAATCCTGAGAAAATTCGCACATCCAGATTTCCAGTTTTTCGGTCATCCAGATATCCAGATTGCCAAATTTCCGGCAATCCAGATTGACGATTTTAAGATTTTCATGTCTCCATATTTCCGCTAGATTTGGACGAGTTTTAATAATAAAAAAATCGAGATTTCTATATATCCAGAATTCCAAATTTCCCAATTTTAATTTTTTCATGCTTCTAGATTTCCACATTTACATACATCGAGACATGTAGACATCCAGATTTCCAGACACTCTGACATAAAAAAAATAAGTTTTGATAATGGAAGAATATTCAAATAAATCTGATAGAATTCTGCTTTAGGTTTATACCTCTCTAGGTTGATTAGGACAAATTTTATAATTAGAAAATACTCTTTTCGCCTCTAGATATCTAGATTTCTATAATTATAGGTTTCTAGGTTTTCAGATTTCCAGAATTCCAAATTTTCCGATACCCAAGTATCCAAATCTCCAGATTTCCAGATTGCCAGATATCGATGAAATAACTTTTGATAATGGAAAGACAATCACAGAATCGTATTTCTGAGAAAATTCTGATTTCATTTCAAATTTCCAGATTTCTAGATTTTTAATTTTCTAGTCTTCCCAACATCCAGATGTGCAGATTTTCACATTTCCAGAATTACAAATTTCCACATACCTAAATATCCACATATTAAAATTTCCAGATTTCCAGATTTTCATGCATATATGTATATATTAAAAAAAAAAATTGTGAGAAAATTCTGCATGAGGCAGACACCTCGTCCGCTCGATTATTTCCTGATTTCTGGTTTTCCAAATTTTCAGAAATTCAGGTTTCAAGAAATCCAGATTACAAAATTTACAGGTTTTCAGATTTATTCACATATTCAGATTTACATATTTTCAGACGAGTTTTAATTATTAAAAAAAAATGGAGATTGTTAAAGGAAAAATAATTACAGAATCGTAATCCTAATAAAATTCTGACTCCATTCTAACGAATTTTTGATTTCCTGAAGCGCCGAGAAAATGACATTTTTGAGCCAAAAAACAGTTTTTTGTCAAATTTAAATTGACATAACTGCAGATCGGCACAAAACTTCGTGTTGTGGTTTGCAGCATTCGATTGTCTCAACCTCTATAATCCCACGAGCAAATTTCCACAATCCGTTTAGTTTTGACAAGAAAAGTGTGATTTTTGACAGCATTTGCTCCTGAAGATGTTGTGGTTTATGTGGGAGTTAATGCTGTTGGAGAGGAACCAAAGCCGATTTGCAAAGTTATCCCGAATTATATAAATATGAGGCGAAATTGGGGCATGAGCTGTATGTTGACCCCAAATTTCTACTAGAAAAATAAAATTGCAATGAAAATAATTTAATCAATAATTACATAATTGTGAACAAGTAATCACATCCTCCTGCTTTGCCCTTGAGGAAATCACACAATAAAATGGTTGCATCTTCAACTTTGACCTTCGTCGTACCTTCAAACTAGTCCCGACAATTTCCTGTTTTTCGCTATTTAATTAAGTCAACAGAGTTAGAAATTTAATGTTCAAATGTGTGCCGGAATGCGGTACCACCAAAGAACTATTTCGTAACATCTCGTCCGAATAATTGTATATTTAATTATTAACTAAGCACCGCTAGAACTTGTCGAAATTGGAACGATTTTTCGTTCATTCGCACGGTACCACTTTCTTCTACTCTGTTAACACAACCTTGGAGACCCTGACCTTAGCTCGAATCTCCTCGCACGGTTACATAACAAGTTTGAATATCTCTAGTCACTCGTGGTGCTTCTGAGCGTCAAGAATGGCAGAAGATGACTCCGAAGAAGTCACCTTGCGAAAGTACTCAATCGCCAGTCTGTTACAAGAAAGGCAGCAATTTCTGCAACAAATCAAGATTCTTAGAGGACAGCTGGAGCAAGCTGGTATCACTCCGTTTTCGCTTCAATCCGTAAGTGCACCCGATTTATCACGCCCGAAACGCTTTTCTTTACCAGCACCTAGTACCAAAACTAGCGCAAGTACCGCTGAAATTAAAACCCAACGACTATCATCTTGCATTGACACCCCAAAGAAACAAAGCTTATCGACTTATGACAAAAGAAGTGGTACCAATGATCTCGGTAAGCAGTACGAGTACGTCATGTGTGGGTTCTATGCAGTACGATTTGCCACCAATTCCAACGTGAGTGATTTTGAAATGACCACAAACGACGAAGTGTACGGCGACTTTGACGACATAGCACTTAAAGTCAAATACACAGATGGAAGTACCCACACGTACTTGTTGCAGTTGAAACACACCGAAAACAAGAAAAGCCTAACCGAGAAGATTCTAACCACCGAGAATAAAGATTTCAGTTTGATGAAGTACCTAAAGACTTTCCAAAACCTCGCGGACACCGATAACGTAAGTTGTATTTTGTTTACAAATCGTACCGCTCATTTCAAAGAGCTGTCTCGCTTCGCTTTCAACAATATCGAATTCATTGTCAAGAAGTTTGACGAAGTTAGGTGTGAAGGTCTCCTAGATACCAATCAAACGTCGAAAAAGTCGCTTTATCAATTCAGTACGACCGACCCAGGCGACTTGTGTACCTTCCTCGACCACTTCTACCTCTTCGCTAATCAGAGCAACGTAGCTAAAATGAAGAGTCTCATCACTCTTTGTTTGAAAGATCTTCTACAATGCGACGTCTGCGACACTTTCCTCCACTTTATGAAAACCTGGTGGTGCGGCAATTTTATCCTCACCAAAAACGACGTCATCGCTAAGTTGGCAGAACTGGCGTTGTCGCCCTCCATACGCACCATTTCTGACGAAAAACACAGCGAAAAGAGCGAACTTCTTGAAGACGCCATCTTGAAGTTTGATATGACGGTGGTGAGTGGTATTGATACGGAAATTGTCAGCCAGATTTGGACCGGAAGTGACGAGATTCGAGAGGTGAGTTTGACAGCTCTCAAGTATGGGTTAATGGATAAAGGAATTTCAAGTCTAGAGGAGTTAATGCCAGTACAGAGGAGCAAAGTGTTGTGGTACTTGAATAAGGTACCACTTGTTGTGAAAGTGTACGAATCGAGAAAAGAGCAAGTGCGGCGCGCGATTGAGCTTCTGGGGAAGATGGAAACGAAGAAGAAATTGTTGGTTTTGGGGGATTTGAGGAGGGAGGAGTTTCCGGAATGGAGCGTTTTTGAAAATTTGCACGACTTGGCTGGGGATGATTTATTCGACGAAATTGTCAAAAGGTACGAAGTGTCGCTCCAAGGGCGCGGTTCTATTTCACTAGAAAGGTTAATCGAAACGCGTGACAGGATGAAGATTATCAAAATCAGAGAGCTGTTTTTGATGTCGCAGGAACCGATTTTGATAGGTGACAAAAAAAATCATTTACCTGATTCCTACATATCTAGGACGGTTTCCACGAACTTTCTCAACACAGAAAAGGTTCTTCACCATTTAGAAAACTCAAACGATCTAATCATCTTCCACTGCAAACCCAAATTTACAAGTTTTCTCAAAAACAAGAATATAACTTTCATGGAAACAAACAACTACGAAGGAGATTCAGAAATTTCGGTACTAGTAACATCCGAGTGCACCAAGTCGCAGTTTGACGAAATTTGTACCAAAACCACCAAGCACAGAGTTCACCTCTTGCGAATTTTAAGCGACGAATCGTCACTTTTGGTACTGAGTTCAGACAACACTTTGAAAAGTGAAGATCTAAAGTACCCGAGGTTTTCAATCAAAGAAGATGAAATTCACGAGACGTTTGACAACCCCATTAACGTTTTATGCGCCCAACCAGGCATCGGCAAGTCCACCATGATCAAATATTTGTACAACAATTGCCCATGCGATCATTGGAGCGTCTGCGTCAATCTGCGCAAATTCAACTGTTTGCTGAAAGAAGAACCCGAAGAAGAAGAAATTTTAATGTACTTTTTGGAACTGGAAGGAGTAGCTGAGCGCACTCTACTTGACGAAATCAAAGTACTCTTTTTCGAAACTCGAAAGATCTACTTGTTTCTAGATGGTCTAGACGAAATCGAAAGCAACTGCGTCGACTTCGCTTTAGACTACGTCAACTACATAGCGTCAACAGGAGTTCACGTCTGGATTTCATCCCGACAAAACCTCCAAGAAGTCATTACAACCCGTCTCAACGTTTTTCCCATCGACATTCAAGAACTGAACCGCGACGAACAATCCAAGTACATCAAGCAACGTCTAGAAACGCGCTACGAACCTGACGAAATCCACCAAATCTCGGAAGGAATTTTCCACAGTGCGGACGTCGCCAATAGTCACAACATGTTAGGAATTCCACTACAGTTGTACATTATCACTGAAAATTTCCTCGACGATGTCGAACTTTATCACAGACTGAACGACGAGATCTTCATTTTGACCAAAATGTACCAAAGCTTCTTCGAAGGTAAGAAGAAACATCTGTACGAGAAAGTGGGCGTTCAGTACGAGCAACAGCTGGGTTTTAATTTTAACCTATACTTAGAGAACTACGAAATTCCGGCACTTAAGTCGTGTTTGGACGATACGACTTTCCAGAGGTTGAATTTGGAAAATTCCAAAAGCGAGGAGTTTCTAGAAATGATAAAAACGGAAGGCGACAAATTCGGAATCGTTTCTCAGGTCAACGACGACAGAGCTGTTTTCACCCACCAAACCTACGCAGAATACTTTGCGTGTTTGTGGTTGAAGAAAAATTTTGCTAAAGCGCGAATCTTGAAAGACGAGTTTAAATCCGATAAATATCAAAACTTGAGGTTGATATTTGATATCATGTTGGCTGAAAATTGTCCCTTGCACTTGGCTGTGATATACCAGAATAGCGACCAAGTCCGGAAACACCTGGTTAATATAGCGTCACGAGACGAAGGAGGACGAAGTGCCCTTCACCTTCTCTGTTCCTACGGGACCAAGTACCTTCCACTACCATTAGTACCAAGTTTGTATTCCAACCAGCTCTACTACGACGAAAATCAATTTGGAGGCGAAAGCGCCAATTACCGAACAATTTTCACTTATTTGTCTCAGTGCGACCCTTTCGAAGTGGACAAAGTTTTCCAGTGGAATTCTCTAGACTACTGCTTCCACTTCCAGTGTCTATACCCAACTGAAATGTTTCTAGAGCAATATGAAGACAAAGTCAAAGTGGATTTGTTGCTTGGGAAACTCAACAGTGTCACTTTAGCCTACTATTCTTCCAAATTGGGTTACCCCAATCTTCTTCAATCCGTTATCAAAAGAAATCGTAACGTCGTACATTTCAAAATTGGAGAAGCGATGTTGTCGCTATTACATGTCGCCGTAGGCGACGATGTAGATGCTCCTCCAGTTAAAGGTACTTAACTTAATTCAATGTAAAGCGGTACTAAATGACAATTTTTTCCAGATAGCACCAAAATCAAAGTTATCAAAATCCTGATCAAAAATGGTATTGATATCAATGTCAAAGACCAAAACGGGGCTACAGCTCTTCACTGGGCGGTGGCTCAAGGCCGCTATAAACTTGTCAAGGCGCTTCTAGACGAAGGTGCAGATGTCAACGCCACCACGAACAAAGGAGAAACTATAATCCACTACGCCCTCCTCGAGTGGCAAAATCAAGTCAAAATCTTCAAAACTGACACCAACGTAGGGTTTGATACGTCACCTAGAGACAAAGACGGAACCACAATTCTACAGTGGGCATGTCGTGAAGGTGACTACGATTTAGCACGAAACGTCATCGATGCAGTCAATATCACCAATCAAATTGGAGAAACCGCTCTTCATTACGCCGTCCAAGCATGGAAGCCCAATTTAGACATTGTCAATCTGCTAATTGACAACGGGATTGATGTCAATTGCACTGACTGCAATGGAATAAGTCCGTTACACTGGGCTTTCGATAAAGGCCACTATGACCTTATCGGAGTACTGCATCAAAAAGGTGCCAACGTCACTACTATCACAGCGGAACACAAATCACTCCTGAGAAACGCTTACAAACCTCAGCAGCCCAACATGTATGTTGTCGAAATGTTGATAGACTATGGGTTCAATGTCAACGCCAAAGGGTGCGACGGAGTCACCCTTCTTCACTGGGCATCTGAACAAGGGCACGTCGGTATCGTCAAGCTCCTAATCGCAAATGGGGCCAATATTAACGCAACTACTAAGAGCAACGAAACCGTTCTACACCACGCCGCGAGAGGCTGGAACACCACACTGATTACAATTTTCACGGAGATTGGTATTGACGTCAATGGTAAAGACATCGATGGCACTACGGCGTTACACAGAGCGGCACAACGAGGCAATCTTAACATGGTAAGATTTCCGACTGTTTTATATACTTCTACCACAATACGAGTAATTCCAGGTTAAAACTCTAGTAGATGAAGGTAGTACCATATCGTCTTCCACCAACCACGGCGAGAACGTCCTTACCTTCGCTGTGAAAACGCACGAGCCCCACCCAGACGTCATCACTTACCTTGTCAAAACCGGAATTGACGTTAACAATCAAGACCAGGATGGAGTAAGTGCCCTCCATTGGGCTTGCGAACGCGGTCATTACTCCATCGTCAAACTCCTCCTCGACCATGGAGCCAACGTCAACTCCGTCACGAAAAAAGGAGAAACTCCGCTCCACTACACAAGTCCCAACACCCAAATGATCAAACTTCTGCTTGACAGTGGAGTCCGCGTTAACGCTACAGACATTGACGGTATGACAGCTCTACACTGGGCAGCCGAAAGAGGTCAGTTTGATCTAGTCAAAACTCTGCTTCAATTCGGAAGCGATATCAACTCCACTAACAACGAAGAAGAAACAGTTTTGATTTATGCAGTCAAACAGAGGAAGATTAACATAGAAGTGGTAAAATTTTTAGTCCGAAAAGGTGCCACTATTGCCGCTATGGATAAAAACGGGATGAATGCGTTGCACTGGGGGAGTAAATGTGGCCACTACGACGTAGTCAAACTCCTACTCAAGAAAGGTGTGGACGCCAACTCCCACACTAACAAAAACGAGACCACTCTACACTATGCCTCGATGTCTTGGCAACCGAACACTGACATAATCAAACGTCTAGTATCAACCGGTGCATGTATCAATTTCCAAGATGGCGACGGTGCTACAGCTTTACACTGGGCTTGTAAAGAAGGACATTACACGAACGTCGCCATTTTAGTCGATTTAGGGGCGGATCTTCACGCCACCACTAAAAACAAACAGACGACGTTGCACTTTGCCGCTAACGCTTGGAAAATCAACTTCGAAGTGTTCGAGCTTTTAATTGACAGAGGTGTAGATGTCAACGCTGTTGACGGCGATGGTAAAACTGCCCTTCACTGGGCAGCCGAAAAGGGTTTCTACGATAACGTGAGTTTCCTCTTGGAAAAAAAGGCCAGTGTGGATGCTGTCACTCGTACGAATTTGACAGCTCTGCACTTCGCCGTCTATGGAGGGCACGTTAGAATTATCAAACTTTTGCTAGACAAAGGACTGACTATTGATAAAGTCGATTCGAAGAATGTGAATCTTCCGCTGTATTTCGCTGTTCGTAATGGACACTTGAAGGAAGATTTGTTGATCATGATGGCTGGTACCATTCGGGAAAAGTTCCCGTTGTTGTCGTGGAAGAGGTACTCTTATCAAGAGGTCATCACGTATTTGCAAGAGGTGCAACCGTACATGGAACCACCACCAGTGATGGTAATACAAGTTATTTTTTGGTTTGATAGTGTTAATTGTGTTTTTTTAGAGAAATGTGTCGACGAGCATGGAAAATCGAGGTGGTTTGCTTCGAACGTGTGGGGATGTTGTTGTAGACAATGTGAGGAGCTCGACGGTGTGGATACAAAATGTTCTGAACACAATGATTTGCCGAAAGGTGATAGTTTAACACATTTGTATTTAAAGTATAAAATATGTTTGTTGTTATTTTTTCAGACTGCACGTCATCCCCGTTCTCCTACTTTTATTGTTCACTATCCTGTATTTCCAACCGAAGATCTGTGTAATGAACAAGAAGTCAAACTACCTACAATTGAGTAAGTGTGAATTTTGTCGTCAACGCTTGCTAAAATTTGTTGTTTCCAGTCGAGGATACAGTTTTTGAATCAACAACCTGATTTATTTTTTTCTACAAAATAACATAAGTTTTGACATATACAAATGTACACATTTTCTAAATAAAGTAAAGAATTTGTTTTAGTGTTTATGATCGTAGTTGTTGAACTTTCGGTTTTTACTTTAACGGTTAACCTCTATAAAGTGGTTAAATATGTTTTTTATTTTACTTTCTACTGATTTCAATGTGCAAATCTCATCTAAAACGTCTGATAAATCCAATCCTTAAGCCCGAGTCATTCAAATGAAAATTGGATTTGAAATGATAAAAAATGCTTTTGCAATCGCCAAAATTTTTATTTGGTAAATACCGGGTGTCTGGAAAATGGCAGATTAACTCTTCACTACGCTCTTAACAATCAACAATCAACGATTCAGGGGAAAATAGTAAAAACATTCGTTCTCATAGTTTGGTGGGATTACAGTGATTTTAAAATTGGTGCTTTTGCCACGTTAAATAACTAAGTTTGCCGTTTAAAACTTTTAAATATATATTAAAGAAATTTTTAATAGAGAAGGCACTTTATAACTTTGAGGAATACCTGTGCAATAAGTACTATTTTAGTTGTTATATTTAGTTTTATTATTTGTATTTTTTACATGTTCATAGTCTGACTTATGCAAAAACTATATGTTATAAGCATCAATAAAATATTCTATACTCTTTACTTCTATTCTAAACAACCATTCATTATGACAATGACTAGGAACAACAATTTCTCTCACCCATGACCACGTTAAATTTAATAATTACCATTTCAGTCAGAATGTACAAAGATATGATGGTTGTGTTGTTTTCGTCATACATAATTTGATAAAATTTCATTTGACGACAATGTTTGCTTGATATAAAGCGAAGGTACAAAGCAACAAAAATCGAGTAAGCAGTTAAAAATAAAGTAGGAAACGAAAGTAGGAAAGAGGACGAAAAAGAACAAAAAAGGACGAAAAAGACGAAAAGGACCAAAAGGACGGAAAAGGATGAAAAAGCCGAAAAGGACGGAAAAGGATAATAAGGACGAAAAAGGACGAAAAGGACGGAAAAGGATAGTAACGACGAAAAAGGACGAACAAGGTCGAAAAATTACGACAAAGGACGAAAAAGGACGAAAAAGGACAAAAAGGACGAACAGGACGAAAAAGGACGGAAAGGCCGAAAAAGGACGAACAAGGACGAAAAAGAGCGAAAAAGGACGAACAAGGACAAAAAAGGACGAAAAGGGCGACAAAGGACGCAAAGTAGGAAAAAGGACGAAAAAGAACGCAAAAGAAGCAAAAGTAGGAAAACGACGAAAAGGACGAAAAAGGACGAAAAAGGACGAAAAGGACGAAAATAGAATAGAATAGAATATTATTATTATTATTTTATTGACGGATAACTCCAATTACAATAATAGTACATAAAATAAATATACAAGTATACAAACATAAACTGCTTAATTAATTCATCTTAACAATAAGAAAAATAAGCAATGGGAATGAGAACAGATAAAAAAAATATATATATTCATATTACACTGTTTATAATGCCTAAAATCAGAAGACATAAGTAAGAAAAAATAATAATAGAATTCTAAACTAAAAATTGTGTCGGAAATAATCGCTTTAGTTTTCTTTTAAACTCGTGTTTACCACTGTTGAATAATACGAAATCGTTATATTTATTCAGATGATTTGCTGTCTCCATCATTCTTAAAATATAGAATAGAATAGAATAGAATATTTTATTGATGCTTGTAACATATAATAGTTTTTACATAAGTCAGACTATGAACATGTAAAAAAGGATAATAAGGACGAAAAAGGACGAAAATGACGAAAAGGACCAAAAAGACGAAAAGGACCAAAAAGGACGAAAACGGACGAAAAGTAGGACAAAGGACGAAAAACGACCCAAATTAGGAAAAAGGACGAAAAGTAGAAAAAGGACGAACAAGAACAAAAAAGGACCAAAAGTAGGAAACAGGACGAAGAAAGACGAAAAGGAACGAAAAGGACGAAAAAGAACGAAAAGGACGAAAAAGGACGAAAAAGGACGAAAAGAACGAAGATGGACAAAAAAGGACCAAAAGTAGAAAGAACGAAAAGGACGGAAACGACGAAAAAGGACGAACAAGGACGAAAAGGGCGAGAACGGACGAAAATGAACGAAAAAGATGAATAAGAACGAAAAAGGACGAATAAGAACGGAAAAGGACCAAAAAGGACGAATAAGGACGAAAAAGGACGAAAATGACGATAAAGGACGGAAAAGGACGAAAAGGACGAAATAGAACAAAAAGGACGAAAATGGATAAAATGAACGAAAAAGAACGAAAAAGGACGAAGAGGACGAAAAAGGACGAACAACAGCGAAAAAGCACGAACAAGAACGAAAAAGGACGAAAAGGACGAGAAAGGATAATAAGGACGACAAGGACGAAAAGGACGAAAAAGGACGCAAAGTAGGAATAAGGACGAAAAAGAACGCAGAAAGATCAAAAGTATGAAAAAGGACGAAAAGGACGAAAAAGGATAAGAAGGACGAGAAAGAACGAAAAGTAGGACAAAGGACGAACAAGAACGAAAAAGGACGAATAAGGACGAAAAAGGACTAAAAAGGACGATAAAGGACGAAAAATAGGACAAAGGACGAAAAAGGACCAAAAGTAGGAAAATGGACGAAAAGGACCAAAAAGCACGAAAATGCACGAAAAGGACGAAAAAGGACGAAAAGTAGGATAAAAGACGAAAAAGGACGAAAAGGACGAAAAAGGACGAAAAGGACGTAAAAGGATAATAAGAACGAGAAAAGACCAAAAGTACAAAAAAAGGACGAAAAGGACGTAGAAGGACGATAAAAGACGGAAAAAACGAAAATGGACGAACAAGGATAATAAGGACGAGAAAGGACGAAAAGGTCGAAAAAGGACGAACAAGGACGAGAAAGGATAATAAGGCCGAAAAAGGACGAAAAGGACGAAAAAGGACGAAAACTAAGAAAAAGGACGAAGAAGAACGAAAAAGGACGAACAAGGACGAAAACGGATAATAAGGACGAAAAAGGACGAGAAGGATGAAAAGGACCAAAAGGACGAAAAAGGACGAAAAGGACCAAAAGGACGAAAAAGGACGAAAAGTAAGCCAAAGGACGAAAAAGGACCAAAAGTAGGAAAATGGATGAAAAGGACGAGAAAAGACGAAAAGGGACGATAATGGCGAAAACGGACGAAATGGACAAAAAAAGGACGATAAAGGACGAAAAAGAACGAAAAAGGACGGAAAGGACGAAAAAGGACGAAAAGGACGGGAGAGGACGAAACAGTTCTTCGAGTATTCATTTTAAAATTTTTTAATTTTCCAATTTTTGAGCTTTTGGATTTTTCAATTTTTCGTTTCGGTTTTTTATTTTCTTTATTTATTACAATTTTCCGATTTTTCAAAGTTTTGAATTAACAATTTTTCTTTTTTTTTTTCAATCAGAGATTTTCGATTTTTTCATTTTTCAATGATTGCATTTTAAAACTTTTTATGCATTCGATTTTTCAATTATTCTATTTTTAGATCTTTAAAATCTCAAAGTTACATTTTTTCAATTGTACGATTTTGACGATTCCATAATTTTTAGATTTTACAATATTTGGGTTTTATAGTTTTCCGATTTATTTTTTTTTTCGATTTTATGTTTACAGATTTTTAGTTTTTCAGTGCTTCAACTTTTCGTTTCTTCGATCTGCAATTTTCCACTTTCCCCATTTTGCAATTTTTCGTTTTTTCAGTTTTGCGATTTTTCAGTTTTTGAAGAATCAAAAATGGAAAAACGAAAATGTGTACGATGAAAATTGAAAAATCTAAAAATTGGACATCAAGAACTTGAACAACTGAAGTGAAAAATTCAAAATCCAAAAATTAAAATTGAGCAACTTAAAAGTCGAAAATTGTAAAATCGAAAAAATGAAATATGTAGGTACTGTAAAATCGCAATATTGAAAAGTAAGGACATCAGAAAATAATATAAATAGAAATAAAAAAATTGAAAAATTGAAAAACGTAAAACCGACGAAATGAAAAATTTGAGAATATTTGAAAAATTGAATAAACGAAAAATTATAAAATCGAAAGAAACATTGAAAAGTAAAAGAAATGAAAAAACAAAATATTGTAATATAAAATCGAGAAGAGAACATGGAAATAAAAAAAAATGCAAATAGAAACATTAAAGAAAGCAAATATTGAAAAATTTGGTAGTCACGAAATTGAAAAATTGAAAAAAAATTCGATGTCAGAAAATTGGTCCAAAATAAATAAATCCGAACTTTTCTAAAAATCGTAAGATTTAAAACAAAAAATTTGCATCGGGTGAGTTTTTCCATTACAAAATTTTGAAGTCATCCACATTTTCCCAGACATTTATTAATTTGGATAGATGCAAGGTAATACTAATAATAACAGTATCATACTTATTCGCAAATTTAGTGAGTCGTTCTTGAATTAATTAATAAATTAAATTGCGTCATTCAGTTTTTTTTGAGCCACCTTGATTAAGTAATTCTAAAAACTGTGATATTAATGTTAAACCACACGCATTACAGTCATAATATTTTGCATATTTTAGAGATAATTAATTAGGCAAAATTTTGAGATGACGAAACGGACGAAAAGGACTAAAAGGACGGAAAGGACGAAAAGACGAAAAGGACGAAAAAAACGAAAAACGACGAATAACACGAAAAGGAAGAAAAATGACTAATACAAGGACGAAAAGGACGAAAAAGGACGGAATGGACGAAGAGGACGAAAAAGGACGAAAAAAAAAGGACAAAAAAAAGACGAAAAAGGAAAAGACAAAAAAAGGACGAAACGGACAAGAAGGACGAAAAGGACGAAAAGGACGTAAAGGACGAAAAGGACGAAAAAGGACGAAAAGGACGAAAAAGACGAAACGGATGAAAAGGACGAAAAAGGACGACAAGTTCGAAAAATAAATAAATATAAATAAATAAATAAAGTTTATTGCCCAACAGAACTACACATTCCAGTTACAGGACAATTATAAAGAATATAAAAACAATGACAACAATTCAGAATCAAAGAAAATAACAAATTAATAAATTAAATGCATAAATAATCAAAGATCTCAATATAATGAAACATAAGAACAGTAACTTAACTTAAATAAAATTAAAATAGAAATAAATGAATGAATGAATAAATTAAAGCCGAAATAAATACCTACATTTATCTACAATATCAAAAATCAAACACACAATCTTTAAATCTAGGCATATACATCAAGAAGTAAATAACTTAAATTAAAATACAACAGTATGAAAACCATATCTGAAAGTAAAGTGTAAACTACTTAAGCTTAATTCTAACAGTGTCTTTTATAGACTTAAGGCTAGTGTTAAAAATGTCAAAATCGGAATTCATTTCTATTTCTTTTAAAAAATAACTTATTACATACATCGGTGCTTTTCTCCCAAAATTAGTTCTAGCAATGCTTGTGTATAATGTTACAGAATGACTGCTGCTAGTTCTAGATACGAGAAAGGATAAAGAATTAGTTAAGGCCCTGCAATCAATTTGATTATTTAATAATTTATATAAAAAGACGATAACGCCGGTAACACGTTTACAAAATAATGAACTCAAATCAAATTTTTTCGACAAGTTCGAAAAAGAAGAAAAAGGACAAAAAAAGGACGAAAAGGACAAAGAGGACGAAAAAGACGGAAAGGACGAAGAGGACGAATAAGGATGGAAAGGACGAAAAAGACGAAAAGGAAAAAAAGGATGAATAAATACGAATAAGGACGAAAAGGAAGAAAAAGGAGAAAAAAAAATACAAAAAATGGACGGAAAGGACGAATAAGGACGGAAAGGAAAAAAATTGGTCTAAAGAGTTTAGACAGTACTTCCCTCGCTGTCGGAAACTTGACGACTGCATGCCTATTGTGTTTTTTTTCTCATTACATTTTTGTAGTGGGAATTTAAAAAAAAAATGCGATGACGTCATCAACATTTTTGCAAGGACACGTATATCAGTTGGGATAGATGTAGTGTAATACTAAGAATAAAATTATTATATTCTAAAATTTTCGGGAAAATGAATTGGGTCGTTTTGAATATTGATTTGTAATAATCAATAAAATAACGAAACAATTTACTCACGTATACGTATCAGAGGCAACTGAAAATCGTGTATGTATAAACATTCTTAATTTAAGATGACAGGCGTAACAGCATACGTGAGAGTCAAACAGAGAAACTGTAAACAAAACGACCATCGGTTTTATTGCTTCGACTTCCGCTTATTATATAAAACATTGGGTTTTATTTTAATTCTTGACGGTGAAATTCACAATTGGTTGATTATAAACATGTCTATTTCACATTCGCGGAACCAAGTGAGCGCATAAAACAAATGCAGGTCTGTAATGTTAAAGTCGATGTAAATAAGCGTGCTACCCTTATGTTTCAACCGAGTTTTTCCTTTAACAAATTTTGTGTCTACCAAATTGGGTTGGTTGGGGTGTAATACTAATAATAAGTGTTGCCTTTAATTTAATCAATAAAATAAATTGACTTCATTAATTTTTTTGAACCACCTCTTAAGAAAATCTAAAAAATATGAATGGAATGATAAATCACAAGTACAAACTCATCATATTTTTTGCATTTTAGATAGGATTTATTCAGCAAAATTTAAGGGTGACGTCATCAATTTTTTTAGGAGGGATGAACAAATACATTTTGAACAAAAGTTTGCCATGCTTATAATAACTTTAAAATATTCCCAAGATTTCAAAGCATTCGGTTTTGTAATTCCTGATTAAATCGATAAAATAAATTCACGCCTTCATTAATTTTTTTGAGTCACCCTGCATATGCAAATCCAAAAATATGAATGGAATGATAAATCACAAGTACAGACTCATCATATTTTGTACATTTTAGATATGATTTATTCGGCAAACTCGAAAGTTTGCTCGAAAGCTGACGTCATCAAGTTTTTGGAGGGGATAAGCAAATATATTTTGACTAAACATTTATTATGCTCTTTATGACCTTAAAACATCTGCAAGATTTCAGAGCATTCGGTTTTGTAGTTCCTGATTAAATCAATAAAATATATTTACGCATTCATTAATTTTTTTGAGTCACCCTGTATATGCAAATCCAAAAAATATGAATGGAGTGATAGATCACAAGTACAGACTCATCATATTTTGTACATTTTAGATATGATTTATTCCACAAACTTTTGAGCTGACGTCATCAAGTTTTTGGAGGGGATAAGCAAATATTTTTTGACTAAAGATTTATGATGCTCTTTATAGCCTTAAAACATCTGCAACATTTCAAAGCATTCTGGTTAGCAGATTAAAAATTAAATTTCAAAATGTTGTTTTATAATTTTGATTTTTTTTCCAAAAATCTGGACGTTTCGGGTGAAAAGTCGATTCAGAGTTGTAAACTACATGTGTAGGACTATGTTATTTTATACAATTGAAAACCAATTTACTATGTACAATTTTGAAGTGACGTCATCGCATTAGTGGTGGGGATGATTAGACAAATTTTGGTTAGCGTTTTACCATCTACATGATATTCTTAATATAAGTACAAAATTTCACAACAATCGGTCGAGTACTTTCGGAGATTATCTGTCTAATAAAAATCCGGGACGGCAGACGGACAGACGGACGGACAGACGGACGGACAGACGGACAGACGGACAGACGGACAGACAGACGGAAATGGGAGACCTATTTCTTCGTCTTCTAGGGGTCATGAAAGATCGAGAAAACTTAAAAGTAGAGAGTCGGCCGACGGACTCGATTACAATACTTCCTTTGCTTACGCTCGGGAAGTAAAAAGGACAAAAAAAGAACGAAGCAGTCAAAAAGGACGAAAAGGACGAAAAGGACGAAAAGGAACGAGAAAAGACGAAAAGGAAGAAAAGGACGAATAAATACGAATAAGCACGAAAGAGACGAAAAGGACGAAAAAGACGAAAAGAAAGAAAAAGGACGAAAAAGACGAAAAGGACGAAAAGGACAAAAAATGACACCCTTGAAGCGAAACCTCGTACATTTTGACAATTTCGTCGAACAAACCATCCCCAGCCAAGTTCTCAAATCCTCCAAAACTAACAATTTCTTCTTCGTTTTCATCTTCCTCAAAAGTTCAATCGCACTTGCTCTTTTCTAGATTCGTACACTTTCACAACAAATGGTACCTTATTCAAGTACCACAACACTTTACTCCTCTGTACTGACGTTAACTCCTCCAAAGTCGAAATTCCTTTATTCGTTAACCCGTACTTGAGAGCGGTCTAACAGACCTTCACACCTACTTAACTTGGTCAAACTTTTTAACAATGAATTCGATATTGTTGATACTGTTGTTAGGTACTTCATCAAACTGAAATCTTTATGCTTAGTGGCTAGAAACTTCTCGGTTAAGATTTTCTTGTTTTCGGCATGTTTCAACTGTAACACGTACGTGTGAGTACTTCCATCTATGTACCTCAGTTTGAGTGCAGTGTGGGATAGTTAATCGTTGTCTTTTATTTCAGTGGTACTTCCACTAGATTTGGTACTAGATGATAGCAAATAAAAGCGTTTAGATTGTGGTAAATCGGTGGCTAGAATCTTCTCCATATATTTCGTCGTTTGTGCTATTTCAAAATGGCCTTATTCATAATTCAAATATTTAATTACTGACGTTGTGTTGACGCAAGAATTCAAACTTACCTATTTAACTTTTAGGTCGTCGAATATTATGCAATTTTATGAGATATTAGACCCAATTATGCAGTCCTATTACTATTAGTGCACAAAAGTTTAACACTGTGATCACAAGGTAATGAGCTGACGAAACAAAACAATAACAACCTGCATTAACAAAACCTTAACAAAGGAAAATTCAAATTAAATTACTACAGACTCGCTTAATTCCATTGCAAAAGTGAATATTTAAGGAATCTTTTGATCAATTGAACGTCAGTGTTTAACAGGTCGTCATGTCGGGCAATTACCATTACAACAAAGAATTGTTAGAAAATCCCGCAGGAAGTGGGGTTGCGATTACAGGTTAGTTTTAATCCACTTAAATTTTATTAACCTTGTCCGCTTTTATTTTTTCAAGGAATCTCTGGACGTTTCCCCAATTCCAACAATGTACTCGAACTCAGAACGACCCTCTTCAACAAGGAAAAGTCCCTCCGGGAGGACACTGGTCGTTGGGACCCGAACCTCTCTGGAATCCCCCAAAAATATGGGGTGATCAAAGACACAGAGAAGTTCGACTGTGGTTTCTTCGGGGTCCACCACCGTCAAGCCCAAACCATGAGTCCAATGACACGAAAGTCCCTCGAGGTTGTAATGGAGGCCATATTTGACGCTGGTGTCAACCCATATCAGTTACAAGGCTCAAGGACTGTGGTGTTTTCGATAACATCATGTACTGATGGTGAAATTTTTGCCACGAGTGGTACTCTTGAGACACAGAGTGGATGGATGAGGTCAGAGATAGCGCATCGGATTAGTTACTTTCTGAAAGTTAAGGGTCCATCGTGTGGCTTAGTTACGGATTGTTGTGGATCCTTTCTGGCTTTAGATATGGCCAACGCTAGTTTAAAGATGGAGAAGTGTGATAATGCTATTGTGGTTGCTTGTAATGTACTCCAACATCCTGAATTTTGTCGGCAGGTAGCTGAGTAAGTCATAACACGGTCGTAATAACCGGGGTATTTGATTGATTCTTCTGCTAACCTCAAAAATTTTAAATTATTTTTTTTTTAATAACATACAAAATTTGGGTACCATTGTAAAGTATGTAAAGTGTTTGGGTCAATTAAAAAATCTTTAAGTAGAAAATGAAAAAAATAAAGAACGTTTAAAATCTCTGGACAAAATCAAAAATTTTGATAACCGAAACATCGAAATTCGAAAAGTCTCGAAAGATCGAGCATTCGAAAGATCAAAAAATCGAAAAATCCAATCCAAGAAAAGTCTCCAAAAATAAAATGTTAAAAAATTAAAAAAATGAAACAGCGACAACTCTAAAAGAGATGTCAATAAATCGAAACATCAAAAAATCATAAAATCGAAAAATGAAAATTTAAAAAAAAGTTGAAAAATCAAAAATTTTAAATTGGAAAAGACCGAAAAATAGAAATATCGGAGAACTGAAACATCGAGAAATCAAAAAATCTAAAATTTTTAATAATTAAAAAATTAAAATATCAAAAAAGTTAAAAAATCTAAAAATTAATACAAAATTGTAAAAACTAAAACTCGAAAAATTGGAAAAACTAAAGTTGAAAAATAGAGAAATCGAAAATCTAAAATTTAAAAAATCGTAAAATTTGAAATATTGGAAAATTGTACAAAAATGAAATTGAAAAATCTAGAAATCTGAAATAACGGAAAATTGAAAAACCGAAATATCGACAAATGGAAAATTGAAAAACCAAAACGTCGAAAAATCGAAACCCCAAAATATTCAAAACTGAAACATCAAAATATCAAATATCAAAAATATCGAGAAATCGAAGGATGGAAAAAACGAGAAATCGAAAAATTGAGAAATCTAAATAAACATGCCAAAATGGAAAAATAGAAAAGTTAAAAATTGAAAAATAGAAAGATTTGAATTAAAAAAAATCGAGTAATCGAAAAATTAAATAATCAAAAAATTGGCAAATTTAAAAATCGAAAAATCAGAAATTTTAAATTTCGAAAACATAAAAAATAGCCAAATTGGAGAACCGAAAAATCGTGAAATCGAAAAATTTAAAATTTAGATTGAAAAATTAAAATATCGAAAAATTAAAAAATTAATTAAATTGAAAAATTGAAAAAATAAAAAGTTGGAAAATCGAAAAACCGACAAATTCATAAATAGAATACTTACAATTAATAAAAATGTAGAAACCTGAAACGACGAAAAATTGACCAATCGAAAAATCAAAAATCGAAACATCGAAAAATTGGAAAATCCAAAAGCCAAGAAGTCAAAAAATCGGAACATCGAAATTATAGAAAAACTGAAACATTGAGAAGTTGAAACATCAAAAGATCGAGAAATCGGGAAATAGAAAAGACGAGAAATCGAAATAGGCCAAAATGGATAAATCAAAAAGTTCAAAATTGAAAAATTGGAAAATTTTAAAATAAAAAAGATCTATTAATCGAAAAATTGAACAATAAAAAATGGGAACATCGAGAAATATCAAAAATTAAAAAATCAAAAATTTTAAAAACTGAAATAATGAAAAACCGAAAAATTTAAAACCGAGAAGTCGAAAAATCGAAAAATCGAGAAATCGAAATATCAAAAAACGGAAAATCTAATTTCAAAAATTGAAATATTGCAAAATCCCAGATTGCAAGAAAAATTGAAAAGTTCAAAAATTGAAAAATTTAAAAACAAAAAATCGAAAATTCGAAAATCAAAAACTGAAAAATTGGAAAATTGAAAAATTGAAAAAACGAAAATTTGGCAAAACGGAAAGCTGAAAATTCGAAAATTCAAAAAACTAAGAAATCGAAAAATTGAAAAATCGAATTAGGCCGAAATCTAAAAATTAAAAAATGAAATTGAAAAATTTATCACTAAAAAAAATCGAAAAAATGAAAAAATCGATACATTCAGAAAGAGAAAAATTGAAAAACCGAAAAATTCAAAATTCGAAAAATCTAACACTAAGAAGTCCAAAAATTGATTAATCAAAAAACTGAAGAATCTATAATTTAAAAACTCGAAAAAATGAAAATTTGAAGAACTGAAAAATCGAAAAATCGAGAAATCGACAAACCAAGAAATTGGAAAATCTAAAATATTAAAAAGAAAAAAATTAAAACATCAAAAAATTGAAAAATCGAGAAATTTCCGAAACAAAAAAAATTGAAAATGAAATGTAAAAATCCAAAAAATAAAAAATTAAGATATCGAAATATCAAAAAATTAAAGAATCGAAATACGTATTGCAAAACTGAAATATCGAAAAATTGAACATTTAATATTCAAAATTCACATCACATCAAAAGACCAAAAAATTGAGTAAATCTAAAATTTGAAAATCGAAGAATTGAAAAAACCCAAAACTGAAACATCGAGTTGAAAAATTGAAAAATTGAAAAATCAAAAACCTGAAAATCCAACAAATGGATATATTTGAAAAATCAAAAAACAATTAATCGAAATTGAGAAATCGCAAAATATCAAAATTCGTATAATTTAGAAATAAAAAATTGTTCTATCTACGGTTATCACTTTTTGGCAAAAATCTCGATGTCGAGGATAAAAATTCATAACGGATTCATAAGCCACAAGTTCAGGACATGTTAATTTACTCGTACTTATCTTCATCGTTCAATCGTCCATTACTTTATACTATTTTTCTTTTGTTCATTTTTAATATGTTCGTGTTTTTACACTTTATTATTTCTATTATGTTAGACAAGTCACGTTCTTTCTAATTTTATAAAATTTTGAAAGAAAAACTTTGAAAAGCAAACTTTTTTGTTCCGTCAATCAGAATTATTCAAAATTTAACGAATTTTGGGGGTTAGCGGAACCAATTTTACAACGAAACCAAAAATTTTGAGCAAACTTTTTTGTTAGACTGGGAGTTTTGACCCCTGATGGTGAATGTAAAGTTTTCGATGAAAATGCCAGCGGCTACGCTCGATCTGACGCCATCGCTTGTGTGTTCCTTCAAAAAGCAAAACATGCCAAGAGGGTTTATGCAAAGGTAACTAACTCATCATGGGGAGATTTCAACAAACAATCTTCAATTTTCTTGATCTTTCTAGATCACCCATATTAGAACAGCGAATGAGGGCTACAAAATCGGAGGCTTACTCGTACCGTCATCCAAAACACAAGCCGAGTTAATTGAAGCTACTTTATCAGAATCGGGAATCAACCCATCCCAGATTGGTTACCTGGAAGCTCACGGAACCGGGACCATTTTAGGTGATCCACAGGAAGCAGAGTCCATAGATGTGGCTATTGCCCAAAAACGACAAAAACCTCTTCTTATTGGTGCTACTAAAAACAATATAGGTCATACTGAGGCGGCATCAGGACTTTGTTCTCTAATTAAAGTTATCATTGCGATGGAATCTGGGCTAATTCCACCAACCATTAATATCGATCAATTAAGAAAGGGGATCAAAGGTTTCCAGGAAAATCGAATGAGGGTGGTCACCCAAGTGGAAGAACTACCAAATAATACCTACATTGGAATCAACTGCTTTGGTTGGGGAGGAAACATTGCCCACTTGATCGTAGAACCTTCAACCAAGAAAGTTGACAACGAGTCGTCACCAAATGACTTTCCAAAACTAGTTTTGGTTAGTGGAAGAAGTAAACAAGCAGTTGTTGAAACACTTCACCAAATAAATCGACAACCAAATGCAGACTTTGTAAATTTGCTGCACCACATCTTCAAAGACAACGTCAATGGACACATGTATAGAGGATTCACGATTTTGGAAGACGGTCAACAAGCTAAGATATCTGTGGAGTTGTACCGTCAACACCCAAAGAAACTATTTGTGTTTTTTGGACCTCTTGAAAGTGGTTTCTTGTTTTTGAAACAACAGTCAATAAAAGTGTCCCTTTTTCGAGACACTGTTGTCAGATACTGAAATCCAGACCGTGACAATTTCAACCAAATTTTTGTTTGTAGGGTTTTGAAGAGGTTTGTTCAGCTAAAAGCCAACTTCGACGAAAACGATACCTTGCTTGGGGGGTTTGCGTTACAACTGGGTATAGCAAAGGTGCTGAGAGTGTTGAAGGTTGAGTTAACACCAGTGGTAGAAGATTCATTCCATCAGGTGTTAGTTCTTTATTGTAAAGGCAAAATTAGCTTGGAGGAGGCAGTCGAAATGGCAATCAAAAGTACGACTTGTAATTAAGGAAAAAAATTTGACCAGAGTTTTCTTTTAGGCAAACCCAATAAAAATAATAATCACTCTGTGGACATTTCGAAGCATTCCATTGTGCTTAATCTTTCAGACAAACCTCTACGAATCAACAACGACGACATGGTTCTAACAACTAATTTCTTTCATATACTAGGAAGGTACGTTTTACATTGTCGTTGACCCAGAGAAAGTAAAATATTCATTTATTCAGACTATACCAAGAAGGTCACGATTTACAAATCCACAAACTCTACCCAAATGCACAATTCCCGGTAAATCGAAACACACCCATGCTTTCCCATTTGATTAAATGGAACTGTGACAAAAACTGGTACTGTTACAAATTCTCAGAAGACACAGACACTCCATTGCAAAAAAGTTACAAGATAACGGACCATGAATACCTAACTGGTCACCAAATCGACGGACTTGGTACTATTCCACCAAGCGAAATCTTAAACTTGGTCTGGCAGACATTCAAATCACGTTTAGTACCAGCAATCGTCTTCGAAAATTGCGAATTCGTAGAAGTCGTACCTCTCGACAATGTTGACATTTTCGTATCCATTTTACCCAAAAGTGGAAAGTTTGAGGTCTACAAAGACAACAAAGTTGTAGCTTGTGGAAGAGTGTTCGTACCCGACGACATCAAGAAATACCAAATAAGTGTTCCTTGCTTTGAACAAAAATCAAGTGAAATTTTGACACAAAACGAAGTTTACAAGACTTTAAATCTAAAAGGGTACAACTACAGGTGGGTCAAAACAGACAAGTACTAGAGTTGTCTCAGTGGTTTGTTTCAAGGGGTTGAAAAGTGTGACCTTGAAGTAAGTGAGGGGTCACTCCGCTGGGAAAACAATTGGACTACTTTTATAGATAGCATGATACAGACGGTGCAGCTGCAAGATAGTACCCACTTGCTTCGTCTACCTGTTGGTATCAGGCGGTTGACAATAGATGTTAATAGTCACTTGAGGATCGTCAATCAGACGAAATCGTGCCATTTTTGCTTTCACAAGAAGAATAAAACCATAAAGTGGGTGAGTAAATTCCACTGGGTGTTTTTAGCTACTTGGTTGTAGGTCTGGAGGGATTGAAATTTTTGACGTTTGTACGAAACTTCGTCAAAGACAATGTCAACAATCACCGGTTCTAGAAAAACATGTTTTTGTTCCAAACGTGGTTACGCTTGATCTGGAGGAGTCTTTAATAGTCAACACACAGATTGTAGTTGAGAAAAGTTTGACAAGTTGTATCAAGGCGGTAGAAATTGTCGACGACAACAGTGACCCTCTTCTTCCTCTGGTACACCGAATAGTACAACGAATGCCAACAGTCACTTCCGACTTTACGATTTGCGCAACCAAATATCCAGAAATTATCGACAAGTCAAAAAATTTGCTTTTGGTTGTTGGTACCAAGGTACCAGCGCTTTTGGACCAAATTTTGGCCCTTGTTAGTCAAGACGGTTTCATCTTGACTCGCGAAAAACCCTCTTTTCGGTATAAGGAAGTCGCCAATTTAGAACTTCTCACGGAACATTGCACTCCCCAGGAAAAACTACTATTGTTACAAAAGTCAAAATCGGTTTATTATGTCAAACACGTACGACTTTCCTGGAAACAGTTAAACTGGTTGCCTACTCTACAACGTGCTCTGAAAACCAAAAATGTGGTGGTTGATTCCAGCAACGTAGAACCTGAGGGTGTTTTAGGGTTGACGACTTGTGTCAGACTGGAGCGTGGTGGTACCAAACTCAGGTGTTTTGTCACGATGGACGAAGTACCAGAGTTTGATTCAGGGAGTGTTTTCTATCAAGACCAACTAAGAAAGAACTTTGCCGTTAACGTCTTCAAAAGTGGCCAGTGGGGTACTTATAGGCACTTACCTTTAAGTCAAGATGGGTCACGTAACTTTGCGTGCGACGAAGACAAATCTTATGTCATCGTTGGAGGTTTGGGGGGGTTTGGGTTAGAACTGACCGAGTGGTTGGTGGCTAATGGTGCCAGAAAGGTGGTACTGGTGTCTCGAGTGGGACTACAAAGTGGCTACCAAAGACGCAAAATTGGGTACGATTTAGACATTGCGGGTACCATAATAGCAAGAACTTTTCAGGCTGTGGAGGTCTTCTGGTGTCGCTGTAACAGTGTCTACTGTAGACACCACCACCAAGCAGGGTTGTCTGGAACTAATCCAAAAAGCAATAAGTGAGTTAGGACCAGTGGATGGCGTTTTTAATCTGTGTGTGGTACTGAAAGACGCCTTCTTTGAAGATCAGACTGAAGAAACATTTAAGGAGTCGTTATCGTCTAAGGCTAATATTGCTGTTGCGTTGGACCAAGTGACACGACAGTGTTGCAAAAACCTCAGGTACTTAATTCTAGATACAGATTTGTCACTTGGTGTTAAAGGTACTTCGTTATGTTTTCGTCTATGTCGTGTGGACGTGGCAACCCTGGCCAAAGCAACTATGGAATGGCCAACTCCGTCATGGAACGACTTTGTGAAAAAAGACGAAATGATGGTCTACCAGGTTTGGCGATACAGTGGGGTCCCATAGACGATGTAAACTCCGAAAAGGGTTTAATTGGCAATTAATACCACTTGCTTTAGGTTGGGGTTTATGCCAAAGCAATGGGTCAAAAAAAAATTCCTCTTCAAGGTTTCGTAGCCCAGAAGTTAGGGTCATGTTTCAAGGTTTTGGAACGTTTTTTGGAGCGAGCAGACGCTGTTGTCTCTAGTGTAGTGATTGCGGAAAAAAACATCGTCAACGGAAATTCACACAGCGTGCTTGACCAACTTGCTCATTTACTAGGGGTTAAGGATACGAGAATTCTTAACAAGGAATTGACTTTGGCAGACCTTGGAATGGATTCGATGATTGGGGTTCAGTTTGCCCAAATTTTGGAGCGAGGTTATGGAATTTGTATACCGCTTGAAGATCTTAGAAGTCTCACGGTGTCAGAGTATGGTAGCAACAAATGAGTGTCATTTTGTTAATCTAAATGAGTGTTCCAGGTTAGTCGAAACCGAAGACAAAATGGGTAAACTTTAACAATATGTTAATACTTGACGAAATAAAACTCCAGTGAAAATTTCGAACTTTACTACAAACAAACGTCTCAATATCACATTTAAGAACATCACTCACGTTTCATTACCTTGTCACAATAAATAAGTCCAGCAACGGTACTCTGAAACCCTGCGTTATAATCCAACGTCACCTCATTATAAAGAAACTCGTCTCTGATATCTTCGTAATGGTCGTTCTGGTCTGGTCCACTAACCAAAGCCCCGTAGAGAATCTGTGGATTGGGACCTTTCCACGTGAACTGCTTCCACCCACATGGTTCGGGCAAATCAGGGCAGGAACTACAGCAACACCGCTAGATCTAGAAATTACAACGGTACCACTTACCTTGCGGAGTGGTGGGGCTGCTTGGGATAGTTCAACCCGTACCCCACGAGATAACTTCGCCCCTTTGAGCCCAGAATGTAGTCGATTTGTTCTTTGGCGAAGTTGATGTAGGTACTTTGAGAAATGTTGAGACCAATGGCAGCCTGTAAACAGTTAATTTGGAGTGAGGGTGGTACTGTGGTGTGGGTGGTACCTGTAAACAAATGAAGGCGACATTGGCAGCGTGCGAGAGAGTTCCGGACTTGTCTATGAAAATTAGGCCTTGAGGAGTCCGCAGTTGCTCCTTGATGGAGTAGTCGCAGAAGCTCTTCGTGGCCGCTTTGTACTCGGGGCGTTGGGTTTGCTCGGCAAGGAGGAGCTAAAAGTGTAGTGGTTAAGTCGGTTTGAGGTACTTAAGTCGATTAAGTACTTGAATTCCGGCCACTTTCTTGTTGTAGAAAAATTCGTTGGGGCGGTCTTTGATTCGGAACTTCGTGTAGAAGTTTTCTGCTTGTTCCACGTATCTGACGTTTCTTGTGGCTTTGTATAACCAAACGGCTGCCCAGGTTAGTTCGTCACCATAACCTGTGGACCTAAAAATATCTTAAAAGTTCCGTCCTCCGTTTCCTTGTGTCGTGAAAAAATTGGTTGTTTCGACAGAACAAATTCGGCTTCTTTGAAAAATGATAAAATTTGATTTTGAGAAGTTTTATTATGACAACCTCGATAAATTGAAACAAAAATAATACATACCAATAACAGTGTAAGGTACCAAATTCCAGCTTATAAATGCGCTTTAACATCCCATATTTTTTTTGTGTTTGTCTTTAACCGAGCATTTGAAAATCGAGAAATTTGGAAACTCGGATAATCTAAAAATTTTGAGATGGAAAAAATTCTATAACTGAAATACCGAATTATTAAAAAATTAAGTCGCAAAATTGAAAAATCTAATACTTGAAAAACCATAAATTACTTCATTAAAAACAAAATAATTGAGAAATCGAAAAAATGTAACAATATAAAACTGAAAAATCAAAAAATTAAATATAAAATTTAAAATTGAATAATTTTATAAACAAAAATTGAAAAATCAGATAGTTGATTGTTAAATAGAAAAATTACAAAATCGAAAAATAGAAAAATTGCAAAACTATAAATTAAAAAAATAAAAAAGAAAAATTTTGAAAAATTTAAAATCGAAATTTTTAAAAATAAAAAATCAAAAACTTAACAATTCAAAAAACGGCAATTTTTAAAAACGAAGAAAAAAATCAAAAACTTGAAAAATTGGAAATCGAAATTTTTAAATATTAAAAATCAAAACATTGAAAAATCGAAACAATGAAATTCGAAACAATGAAATTCGAATAATTGATAAATCAAAAATTGAATAGTAATTAAAAAAATGAGGAATTTAAAAAACGAAAAATTATAAAATTGAAAATTGATAAATAGATTAATAAGAACCGAAAATTATAAAAATGGAAAACCGAAAAATCAAAAATGTGAAACGGAAAAATTGTAAAAAGAGAAAGAGGAATTTATTGAGTATCTGCTCAGATAAAACTGATTTTGGCAAATGACATACATTCCAAGAAAAGAATGGGTGGGTGAGCGGGGCTAGTACCTGCTAAGATAATAGTGATTTTGGCAAATGAGATACACTCTAAGAGAAGAGCGAGCATATCCAAAAGTACTGTTTAAAGGTAGACTTTTACATTTAATTGCAGGCGACAATTTAACGGTGACCGCACTTTACTTAAGTTTCGAAAATAGTCGAAAATGGGTCGAAATTTGCATAAGGGGGTATACAGAAGTCGTCTAAATATTCTCAAAAAATCCAGAGTTATACATTTTGACGTGCTGATTCCAAAAATATAGTGTGTTTAGGGGATAATAAATACTTGGAAGTTCAAACGTGTTAAACTTCATATCTTTTATACAGAAGTTTGGATTTTACAGTTAAACTCCGCCCCCCGGTCTCATAACGAATAAAAAATCAATCACAACTGAGATACGGGAGGGTGGGTGGGGGATAATTTTTGGTTTCTTTTTTAATATAACTTTCTTTCAACAACACGATACTTAAAACCTCTTAAGGTGGAATTTTTTTGTAGAGAAATATAAACTTTGGAATTAAGCTCCGCCTCCCGTCTCACGACGAATAAAAAAAATTATCACAATTCAGAGGGGGTGGGTGGGTGGGGCTTATCCATTCACTTTCTTTTAAACGCTTAATTACTTAAAATATCGAATGGTGAATTTGAAGTTAGAATTATGTTTTAAGCGTCGTGTTATTGAAAGAAAACTCTATAGATTTAGAAAATGAAGCCAATATTTAAGCCCTACCCACCCACCCTTATCTTTATTGTGATGAATTTTGAATTTGTTGTCAGTTGGAAATCCATATTTCTTAAAAAAAATTACTATTTTATACATATTTTAAATTTCTTGTTGCGAAAAGATGTCTGTACGTATATTAAGGAAAATACAAAGGCTTATTATAAGCCCTCCATCCCCATCTCAATTGTGACGGAGAAATTACTATGTTTTAAGTATGGTATTGTAGAAAAAAAAAGCTATATATAATATGAAGAAAAGACACACATGATTAAGCCCCACCGGTTTACGCAGAGAGGTAAAGTTTTATTTTTCTAAAGTTTTTTTCTCTTCTTCATTCCCTATTTTTTCTCAAAACAATACGGTATTAAATACTTCAAACGTGTTAAACTTTGTATTTCTTCCGCAAAAAATTGGACTTTACTCCGCATGTGATTTTTTTTGTAGAGAAATATAAATTTTGCAATTAAGCTCCGCCTCCCGTCTCACGACGAATAAAAAAAATAATCACAATTGAGGAAGGGTGGGTGGGTGGGGCATATCCATTGTTTTTCTTTTTGTAATATACGTAGTCTTCTTTCAACAAATAAGCAAACCTATTTTAAGTTTCTTGTTGTGAAAAGAGTGCTACGTACATTGAAAAAAAAACAATATGTAAGCCCCGCCCACCCGCCCTATCTCAATTGTGATGATTTTTTTGTATTCGTCGTGAGTCGAGACCGGATTTTATTGTGGGGACTGCAAGTTGTGTTCCCACAGAAGCTGTGCCGATAAGAAAAAGTGCTGTGGTACCATCAGTTATATCTTATAACCACCTACAACATCCTAACATCCAAATTCAGAAATTTGAGAATATTTGAAAAATTGAATAAACGAAAAATTATAAAATCGTAAGAAACATTGAAAAGTAAAAGAAATTAAAAAACAAAATATTGTAATATAAACTCGAGAGGAGAAAATAAACATAAAAAAATTGCAAATAGAAAAATTAAAGAAAGTAAATATTGAAAAATTTGGAAGTCAAGAAATTGAAAAATTGAAAACAATTTCTATGTCAAAAAATTGGCCCAAAATAAATAAATCCGAACTTTTCTAAAAATCGTAAGATTTAAAATAAAAAATTTGTATCGCGTGAGTTTTTCCATTACAAAATTTTTATGGCATCCACATTTTCCTAAAGACATTTATTAATTTGGATAGATGCAAGGTAATACTAATAATAACGTTATCATATTCGCAAATTTAGTGAGTCGTTCTTGAATTAATTAATAAATGAAATTGCCTCACTCAGTTTTTTTTGAGCCACTGAGTTTTTTGAATAAGTAATTCTAAAAACTGTAATAGGACGAAAAAGGACGAAAAAGGACGGAAAAGGACGAAAAAGGACGAAAAAAGACGAAAAGGACGAAAAAAAACGAAAAGGACTACAAAGGACGAAAAGGACGAAAAAGGATAATAAGGACGAAAAGTAGGACAAAGGACGAAAAAGATGAAAAAGGACGAAAAGGACGAAATAGGACGAAAAGGACGAAACATTTCTACGAGTATTCATTCTAAAATTTTTCAGTTTTCCAATTTTTCAGCTTTTGGATTTTTCAATTTTTCGTTTGGGTTTTTAATTTTCTTTATTTTTTCAATTTTTCGATTTTATAGTTTTGAATTAACAGTTTTCCTTTTTTTTTCATTCAGAGATTTTCGATTTTTTCATTTTTCAATTATTGCATTTTAAAACTCTTTGATTCATTCGATTTTTCAATTATTCTATTTTTAGATCTTTAAAATCTCAAAGTTACATTTTTTCAATTGTACGATTTTGACGATTCCATAGTTTTTCGATTTTACAATATTTGGGTTTTATAATTTTTCTATTTATTTTTTTTTCGATTTTAAGTTTCTAGATTTTTAGTTTTTCAGTGCTTCAGCTTTTCGTTTCTTCATTTCTTCAATCTGCAATTTTTCGATTTTCCACTTTCCCCATTTTGCAATTTTTCGTTTTTTCAGTTTTGCGATGTGTAAGATGAAAATTGAAAAATCTAAAAATTGGACGTCAAGAACTTGAACTGAAGAAGTGAAGAATTCAAAATCCAAAAATTAAGAGCAACTTAAAAATCGAAAATTTTAAAATCAAAAAAAAAGAAATATGTTCTGTAAAATCGCAATATTGAAAAGTAAGGACATCAGAAAATAATATAAATGGAAATACAAAAATTGAAAAACTGAAAAATGCAAAACCGATTAAATGAAAAATTGAATAAACGAAAAATTATAAAATCGAAAGAAACATTGAAAAGTAAAAGAAATGAAAAAACAAAATATTGTAATATAAAATCAAGACGAGAACATGGAAATAGAAAA